AGAGACAGTTTCCAAAGGGTGTTCTTGGTACAGAGATGTTCCTGGAGAATTTTCCCTCCTCTTTATATCTGCCTCTACCCCAAAAAGCCAGCAACCAGCAAGGGAGAACCTGCCTCCCAGCACACCAATTACTGCCATCCTCCTCCTTCAGCCAGGACCAGAGAAAGCATTTCAGCTCCCCAGTGCCCATGCTCCAGCTGCAAGATCTAGCAAGTAAGTGGAGCCAGTCCCACTGGCCAAGCACTGGGATGCAGACTGGCTCATTGTGGACAGCAATCCATGGGAGCAGGAGCAGCTCTCCTCTGCTGTGGACCTCTCCATCCTTTCCCTCGCAGGCTGTTCGCTCCCAGAAACAGCAACAAGACCCTGGGTGTGGTTCAGACCCTCCACGCCTGTGTCAGAGACCCACCTGCCTGCCTGCTCGGGGGTTTGTCCATCTCCCCCCGGCTCCAGCGGCTCCGTGTGAGCCCAGGCAGCTCCCCCACACCGCGGGCTGGAGCCCCCACGTCCCTCCGCAGCCTCCCTTTGGCCGCGGGAGGCCAAAGACCCCATTAACACCTCAGCATCGCTGGCACATGTGACAGCGTCCGGCGGGGAGGGAGCCCCGCTCCGCCAGCAAACCCGACTTGAGAAAAATCCTAATTATCCGTCAGTTCCCAGCTGGCCGGCGTGGCGAGGGGCTGCGGTGAGAAAACCACCGCGATCGGCTGCGGCTGCAGCGTGTCCGGGCAGCTCCGGGCAGCGGAGCCGCGGTGGCCCCGGTGGCCCCGGTGGCCCCGGTGGCCGGGCAGGATTCCGGCGTGCCCCGTCTTGCCGTGCCGCAGCTCCCGGCGCTCCGCCGGAGCAGCCTGCCAGAGGGGGGCTTCCAACCCGCAGGGAAAACCTTATTTTCGGCATATGGCCGTTGCTCTCTGTGATAAGAAGGCCATTAAAAATGAAAAGGGAGGTGGCAGCAGCCCGGAGGGCTTCCCACAGCACGGCTGCTTCCATCCAGAGCTGGTCAGAGCTCAGCCCGGGGGTCGGGACACCCAGGGTCACACACCACTGCCCAGGGACCCTCTGCGAGGACAGAACGGGGTAATGTCAGTCCCAAGGCTTCACCCTTCTCCACTCATCTCTTTTTTAAAAATTAGAAAATCAGCATTTTGAAGCAAGAGAGAGCAGCTGCTGATGTTCTGGTCCCATTGTCCACACTGCTCTCCTCAGACCCCTTCCTCCTCCTCCTGCTTTGAGTCAAGGGTGTCTGCTAAAGCACATCTTATCTCTGGAGAGATATGCAGACTCCTCATTTGAATCCTTCAGGAGTTGGGAGAATCCACCACATTCCTTGGTTCCTATGGTTAATTATCCTCACTGCTAAAAAAAAAATAAATATTCCTCCTTGTTTCTAGTCTGAATTCACCTGGCTTCAGCTTCCAAGTGCTGGATCTCATTATGTCTTTTGCTATTAGATTAAAGAGCTGGCTGCTATCAGGGACCATCTCCTGGGCACACCACGATCGAGGCCCCTTGCTCTTCTTGGGGGGAACTTCCATGTAGAATGTTTCTCTGGTATTGCTCTACAAGGCATCTGTTCCACACTGTTCATCTGCTTCACATCTCCCTGCCAGGCCATGTCTGTTTTGTCAATAGGGGTTTGAGGTGTGGACAGGAGCACTCTGTGTGGGCTTGGGGACACTTGGCTCTCCTGCCTGGGTGACACTGATTTGCCCAGTCCTGCAGAGCAAGCCCTTGTCCAGCACTCTAGAAGGCGCCAGCTCACCTGGTCCTTAGGAGCCTCCTCTCCTAAGTGAGATCATGCCACAACTCCCACAGAGATTCAAGTCAAAACCCTTCAAAACCAGGAGACCATTGGGCTACATGCTTCCATCAACCAAAGCTCATGATTATATAAAAAATGATGCCAAATCTTTTGACAGATGATTCACACAAACCATTTGTTTTGGCACTGCCTGCTCACCAGCTGTCCTTTCCTCTGTGGCCAGATCCTTGATGATTCAACCCCAGACTGCAAGAGACCTTCAGCTGAGACTCCTTCCAGTGCAGCAGACCCCTCATTGCTCCAAAATATTTCCCAGCACGTTGGCTCTGCTGAGCTTGTGGTCAGTGCTTGGTGGAAATTGATCAGTCATCCTGGCATAAATAATTGTGTGCAGCAAAGCTCAGTGTATCCAAAAGCCACGAGGTTTCCCCAGGAGGAACAGGCGGGGTTGGTTCTTCCCAAGTGTTGCCCCAAACCACACGTGTCCTGCAGAGCACCGGGGTGGTTGGTGCTGCTGTGCTTGGTGTGGCCATCACTGCTCTGTCAAATGTCCCTTTCTGTCGCCAGCCCTCCTGACCAGACATTTACCTTTCCTTCCCAAGTGCCTGCATTTCCCAACGGCTTTTCCTAATCTCATGTGTGTGTTCCCGGCTCCTGTGGAGGCTCACAGTGTCCCACACAGTGTTATTTGGGAGTTCATTGACAACATAGAACACATTCGTTTTGCTGAGCTCCTTTTCCTGTTAAACCAGGACGAACTCTCAGGTGTGGCAGTGGCACTGCAGAGCTCACAGTGAGTGGGAGGAAGGCACCAACCTCATCTTCCAGCACTGACCATGCCTGTGACAGCCCCAGCCAGGAGGACACCAGGAGGACACGGAGTGACATCAGCTGTGACTGCAGCAGGACCATTCCTCATGTGGCACCTTGGCAAGCTGGACAAGCTGCACCTGCCTTGGCAATCCTGCAGGAATCACTGCTTCAAATGAAACATCCTCTGTGCTCTCCAGGGTGCCAGATGCTGCCAACCCACTGCTGCTCTCCACCAGGCTTAGCTCCAGTGCAGGTGGCCACTGGCCCTGCAGCCAGCCTGCTCTGGGGAATGCAGACACCCCAGCATCATGGCTCAGAGGGCCACACACCTCTGACTGTCTTTCCAAGTGTTAAAGCCGCTTCAGGCATTCAGTTCCTCACTCTGGACCCTTCCCAGGACCCCTCTTTGCAGCCGTGGCTCCCAGCCCCAGCTGGTGGGTGCATCCTCCTCAGATGCTCCCAGTCACCCCTGGAATGAATGTGCTCTCTGAGCAGCTCCCGGGTCCAGCTGCTCCCCCAAGGCTGGGAGGGCACCGTGTGGCACTGCCTGCCCTGAAGTCCCACAAAGGCTTGGGAAAAACTCCCATATCCTGTCCTGGTGAGCTGAGCTCCCGTGGGACACAGCTACAGGAGCACAGTCAGCATAGGGTGATGCGAGACAACCTGAGCTCCCTTAGTTAGAACTGTGGAAAGATCCCAGAGGAATGGGATGGCTTTCAGCAGGGGAGCCCTGCTGCGCTGTGTCTGCTCCACCCCAAAGCCATTCCCCCGGCACTCCTAGCTGGGGACAGTGGCAAGCGAGCACGGGACACGTTCTGGCCCCCGTCCCTACGTGCCGGGACAAGACACTCTGCAGTGCCTTGTTTCGGTTTCCATTCGGACGCTTTAGCAGCACGGGAATGCCTCCCTTCCCTGCGCAGCTTTACCTGGGACTGAGAGGAGTTATCCCCCAGCAGGGGTAGGAGTGGGCTGGAATCACATCCTGCCCGAGGACCTCCGGTTCATTCAGTTTCTGATGAAATGCATCCCTGAGCAACATTCCGCAAGGAAAGACCTTGGAACGAGCGGGGACTTAACTACCCCTGCGAGGCCAAGCGGTGTTAAAAACCACGGCGCTGTCCCGAGACCCCGGTCCGAGTGGAGCAGCAGCCACAGATCGCGGGGAAGCTGCTGGGCTGTCCCAGCCGGGAATTCGGCTGTGTTCAATCGCTGCCGACTCGCTGCTGCCTTCCCCACTCCACGCACGCATTGGTTTCGGCAGGACACAGCCCCAGCGCTGCGGCCGCTGCCGGAGCCCGTCCCCTCCGCATCCTCCCCAGGACAGCCGGGAGCATCCAGCCGGCCGCTGCCCGGGGTGTCCCTGCACGACAGCATCCGAGGATGCTTTCTGTCTCCCGCAGGAAGGACTGTCCTGGCAATTAAACACGTCACCTTCCGCAAACAAAGGTCATTATCACACCCGGGGCTTAAATACCCCTGGGCTGCTCTGCCCCTTCCATGACAATGTCAAACCGCAGCCCCGGAGAGAACTGTGCTGCTCCTACGGGGTGTCAGTCATCCCATCCCGACCTTCCTGCTCTGCCAGTGCTTCCAGGAGGAGAAAACCCTCCCGGCTCAAGCGTGGTGAGCTGCTCTTCAGAGGTACCCGCTGCGGGATTGCCACTTGTGGCACTGGCCACAAGCGCTGGTTCTCCATAAAAACGTTGCGCTGAGCCAGCAGCAAGGATGCGAATTTAGGACCTTTTGCCACAAAAAGCAAAGCGGCCCCCGTGCGCTTTGCCCGGCCCCTGGGTCCCTGCTTGCAGAGCTCTCCTGTGCCGGGCAGAAGGACCAAACTGGCATCGCGAGCAGACAGCAGGAGCTGTGCAGCCATCCCTCTGTGCATCAAAACCTACTGCGCCTAAAAACCTGCTCTGTTATTTGCTGTGACTTGCAGGGATTAAGTTACTCCTCTGATACGGGATGGAGAAGGACTGTAAATGACAAGCAGGAATTTACAGCACAGCTGGGAACGGCGCCGGGGGATACGAGCAAAGGTCCCTCTCGCCCACAGCCTCGTCTCTGACAGCACCCGCAGGCAAATACGCCGGGAAGCACCGTGAGAACGGCAGGTACCTCCCGAGGACATTTCTTTTCGGAGGACATTTACCCACAATTTTGGGAATTGCGGCGAGAGAAGTGACACCCCAGCCGCTGTGCTTCACACCCTTTTGGGACAAACCCCCTGGAAAGCAAGCTGATGTTTCCAGCACGCTTTGCTTCCCAGGGCCACCACCTGTGCCGGTGAAGTCCCCATCAGTGGTGGCCGCATCCCGCGGCTGCCCCGTGCCAGCCTCCCCAGCGCCGCCGCGTTGGGTGCTGGAGGTGAGGACGCGCTCGGCGGTGCTGAGCATCTCCCCAGCCGAGGTAGAAAAATTCAACTTACTGTCCAGGTGGCTGACTTGGCGGTGCTGGATTGCTGGAAGGTCACCTCGAAGTGGTGGGGACCAGGGTAGTCGGTGTTGGAGGGGATGACGGGTGCCGGGGACATGGCGTCGAAGGTAGAGCTGGGCTGCGAGTAGGGAGAATGAGTTGGGACATTGGAGGTGTGCTCGGAGCTGTAGGGGCTGGTGGAGGCTGCTCTGCTGCCGATGCTCTGATCCATGCTGTTGTTCAGCAAATTGAACTGGGACTGGAGGAAGGGAAAAGGGGAGGAGGGAAAAAAGAAAACACCAGCCAGTTTAGAGACAGGGAAACCTCAGCCACCTTTCTCCAGGGCTGGGGTGTCCTGTTACAGCCTCCTTAAAGGGCCAGCGTGCGGAAGGGGAGCCAAAAGAGCTGGTCTGGGTGGCTCGACAGGTCACCACTTGTGTGAGGGATGAACTCCGTGTGCCTAAATCCCCCACCTCGAGCTGCTCCATCCTTGCTGGAGGCAGCGAGGTGCCACAGTCCCGGATTTCTAGCGCACCTGCCTTGGGAAAGCCTCGCTTCTGACAGGGGCAGGGATGTTGTGGGGTTTGCTCAGGTGTGGGACATGTCCCGCTGCAGGAGGGGAGTGACAGCGCTGTCCCGCACGCAGGGCTCTGCTCCCCGCTGTCCTTTACAGCAGCCAGAGTGTCACAGCTCGGTGAAGCCACCCTGCCAAGGTGAGCCACAGTCCCCGGCGATGACATCGCTCCATCGCCACGGCGATACCGAGCGCCCGTCCTGTTTTCCAACCTGTCCCTCCTCATGTGTTCACCGGTCACGGACACACACCCACAGCACTCCCGGGCGTGCTTCCCGGAGCCATCCAGCCCCAGGCAGTGGTTTGTAGCTGGTTTCCCAGCGCGATATTTACTCTCAGTGCCTGATGCAGCTCTAATTTGGGGAAAACCTCAAACCTACAAAGCACATGGCTGCGATGCAGAGCACTGCAGGAAAGTCAAGGGGCAAATGGACCCGCTTAGGAAGGTCCTGACTCTTATTCCAGACCTGTTGGACCAAACCATGACTTTTTACAAATCTTTTTCTTATTCCTTTTCTGATCAATTACTGCCAGATTCTTCCAATAAGAGCTGGCAGCTCCTTTACCCACAGGCACAGCCCAAGCACAGTGACATTCCCAAGAGCCGTGTGGCTAAGGCGACCTTAGCATTTAATTAGAAAATCAGACTCAAATACAACTGCTTCTCGGAGCAAGTGGGATGGTTTATTTCCCCCAGAAATCCGCAATTCCCAAATTGCTCATGGGCTGCTCTCACCCTGCAGCCCCAGAGGCAGTGACAGTGCTGGTGACCACACGCAGTGCCCGGTGCATTGCCGTGTGTCACCCTGGCTCCCTGCACTGGAGCAGGGACACAGCGCCCCTCAGCCGCCCTCATGCTTGACAGGGACTGTCCCCCGTCCCCAGTACCCACTGGGGCAGCTCTGGGAAGCCAAGAGCTGTGGAAGCAGCCGTGGGCACAGCCAGCAGGCTCAGCCTTCTCCAAAGGGCTGCAAGGCTCACGGCTCAGGAATCAGGAGACGTGTTTTAACTTGGGATCCCAACCTCACCCAACCCTCTTCGATGTGGAATGGTTTAAAGGCAATCATCCTTCTCCAGGGAAGTTCTCCTGTTGCCTGCATCTCTCACAAGGTCGTTGGAGCCTGTGACTAACTGGAGGAATGTTGAACAAGATCTGGCTTGCTTTTATGCATCCAGCCATTTTCTCCCCTAAAATATGTGCCTAAATCCCTCTATTCCTCCTCGCCGCTCTATAAATAGCCCAGCCAAAGACAAGCCAAGCTTTCCTTAATCCAGGCTTCACCTGGAGAAAAACTAATGAAAAACTCTGGCAAAACAGGCACGTTAGGAAAGCTCTTGCCATCCAACTGGGAAATGCAGCTGCTCTGGGAACCGTGGGCAGGGCAGAGCCAGTGAGGTGACACAGGCAAAGCTGAGGGATCAACCAGGAGAACAGCAGCAAGGGGAAAGGAATTGCTGCTGGATGGGGCTACTCTCAGCCCAGCTGATCCAGGAGTGTCAGGACTGAGCTGTTCTGTTCCCATGCTGAGAGACAGGACCGTTCCTGGCTGAAGCCTGTGGCTGTAAATGGGCAAGTGAATGGGGACCCACCACAGAACGGAGCATCCCAAGCTCTGTGTGGGAGAAAACCTTCCCTCAGGAAGAATGGTGAGACATGAGACTCAGGGTATCACCTCCACCAGCCAGGCTGGCTGCCCCTGCTTGCCTTAGAACAAAGCAAGAGGCAGCATCCTGAGTGCCCAGACTTTGGGAATCTGCAGGTAGAGAGACCCAGAGTCAGGTCCGTGGGCAAAACAACAGATTTGCTGCTCAAAATTGATGAAATTGTGGAAACATTCCCCTAAAAGATGGATTGAGGGCAGGAGTGTTTGTGTATGTGTGTAAATATGTACATACACACACAGGGATAATTACTCACACAACTGCAGCAACGACCTCCCATGAAACAGCCCCAACAATGGGACACACGGGCTTGGTACCAACACACTTAAGGTAAAACCAGGAATGAAATTATTTCCTTCTATCTCCAGCTCCCTCTGTGCCTGTGCTGGACCATTCCAAATGCCAGGGACAGACACAAACCCCTTTTCCCTAAGGAAACAACCTCAGTGCTTGAGGACAGGGCTGGAAATGTATTACCTGCAGCACAGGTATAGCTTCACCTGCTCTACCCTCCCAGGGATGTCCACCAAGGAAAGGAAGCCTGCCTGTGGAGGCAGGTGTGGGCTCTGCTGAGGAGTGGATGACAAAGATGTGCTGGTGGTGTCCAGCACCTCCAGGTGTTCCTTGGATGGATGCTCTGTCTGACACCCTTCCCACCTGTGCACACACAGGTAAGGGACCCTGCACCCCTGGCACCTGAGGCTCAAATCCCACCTTGGTTTCTTCAAGCACCAGATGGAGCAAAGCAAGAGGAACAGTGACAGATTGCCGAGGTTGCAGCATCCTGCACCAACACGGCTCATGAGCAGAACTGGACCAGCCCCATGTCCTCCCTGCAGCTGCAGGATGGGGACAGGCACTGGGACAACCCCTGGCGCATCCTGAGCAGCAGCACCGAGGCAGAGCCAGAGCAGGTGCCCCAGAAGTGGAGGATAATTCTAAGAAGAGCACCAAAGCAAACCCCATCATAGCAAGCAGCACCTACCGTGGTGTAATGCTGCATCGGGTCGCTGATGTAGAGCATTTTAGTTGTCTCGGGGTTCACGGAGCGCGGGGAAGCCTCCTGGCACGGGAGTCATGGGGTCGGGGCGGCGGCCGGGGTGGGGTGGAGGGTGGGAGGAAGGATTGCGGGAGCGGGGCCGGGCGGGCAGCGCCAGGGATGCTGCGCTGGCCACCCGTGTGCCGCCGTCTGTTGGCTTTTTTGCTTTTTTCATCTCCCTTAGTTCTGTCAACTCGCTGCATCCAACAACAAAACGGGGCCCACCCCTTCTGTCCCTCATGACTATTCATTAAAGCACAGGGCAGGCCCCAGCTTGCCCAGTGATGGACTGGGCGATACCAACCATTCCCACTGCAGGGAGAACAGGGGTCCAGCTCCACCACCGAAGCTGCCCGGATCCCACTCCCAAAAGCTTCTACAAGGGGCTGGAGACCTGCTGGGCTGGCACCTGTCACCAGCACACTGAGGTGCCCACCTTGGCACTGACCAGGCAGAGCAGTGACTCTGTGAGAGCTCCGTGTGTGAGATGTGGAGTTATCTCTGTCTGGATGGAGAGACACGCATGGGTGAGGATGGATATGTGGATGGATGGATGGATGGATGGATGGATGGATGGATGGATGGATGGATGGATGGATGGATGTCTAGAGGGATAGACAGGAATAGTTAGGGATAGATGCCTGACAGAACATTTGGGTGATCTGCTCGCTGCCACCGAGCATCAGCACCACTCTGGCACCAATGTGTGCCAGGAACAGCGGGAATCAGCACGGGAGGGACTGAGTGGTCCCTCCACAGCCTCTCCCCTCTCTTGCATTTCCCTGAGCCTGCCGGCATCCCGTTACCAGAGCGCTTCTTATGGTGCCCCCTAAACTGCTCCGGCCCCGCGGGCTCGGCTTTGGTTACAGCGGGAGCGAGGGGAAAGGCGAGGGCTCGCTCAGCGAGGAGCACAGCCCCAATTAGCAGCACTCTGCCCGGCTCCTGCCCGCTGTGAAAGGCCGGGGAAGGGAGGGAAAGCGAGCGGAAAGCGAGGGAAAAGGGGCTGGGGGAGGGGAGGCAAGCTGTCGGCGAGGGAAACGGCGGCTTTCTGGAGGGAAAGAGCGGCTTTCTGGAGGGAAAGAGCGGCTTTCTGGAGGGAAAGAGCGGCTCTCCGCAGGGAGACGCAGCCACCAGCCAGGGCAGCCTCAGGGATGCTCCCGGGCGCCACGGAACACGCACAAGCGGCCGGGATGTCTCGCACGGCCGCGATGCTTTCCCAAGATTTTGTCTCAGACAGAAGCAAAGGAAGGGCAGCGCACGGACCTGGGGCTGTGGTGGGAGCAGAGCTGCGAGCATGGCAACTCATAAATGGTTTTTGCTCCACACGGTTTATCCCGCAGTGAATGACAATGTGCTGCTGTCCTGGTACACCCTAGAGCTCCGAGCCCCCGCTGCTGCTTGCACTGATGTTGTCAAACAATAAACAGCCACGGTTTTACTGACCCTTGTGCCATTGGTTACAGACCCTGCACCAGTGCCAGCAGTGCTGCACCACCAAGGTCGGTTTATGAACCAGCAAACACCCCAGTGCCTCCCCCAGAGCCCCCAGCCCACCCCTGCAGGGAAATCAAGTCTGTGCCTGGTCGGGGTCCCCATGCCTGCTGTCTGAGCACACTCACCATCACCGAGTCGGCCATGCCTCTCATCTGGAACACATCCATGGTGATCTCTGTGCGGTTGGAGACCTCATTGCTGCTGGTGGCTGGAGGGAGGTCGAAGTAGGTGCTGTCTGGCTCCCTGAGGAGAAGGGCACAGCCAGTCATCTTCCCAGCTCTCCAACACAGCCTGTGCCACCACCACCCCCTAGCAAGTCGCAGTCCCCTCAAACCTTGTCCCTTTCCCAACTTCTTCCTCCACCCTCTGCTTTAATTTCCACATGGCAGAGCAGGCTTTACCTGGCAGATAAAGCAAGCAGAGACGTTGGAAATTTTGCATCCACACAGCTACCCCAGCATATCTGTCACCTTGGGATGCCTTTACATGAGAGGACCAAGGAAGGAAGATTAAGTGAAGCTCAGTCCTTCTCCCTTGCTGGATTAGAGCATGAGGCCCAAAGGCCAGAAGGCTTGCAAACATCTTGCCGGGGCTGAAAGATGTTTGATTTTGAAATTAAGGGTCCCAGCTTGAGGGGAGCTCTGCTCTGGCCCTGACACTGTCCTCATGCTGCCCCGGAGCACTGCAGCCAGGAAGGAGCTACCCATGAGACAGACAGTGCCACGTTGTTTGGTAAATGGAATGCCCTGAGCAGGGGGTCTGAAACCAGGGAGCAAAATTTGCCAGGTGGCAAAAGGCATCTGTGGAAAGCAGAGGATGCAAAAGGAAACTTGTCTTTGGCAAAGAGCCACTGCTGCCTCTGAACAACCCCCATGAGGAATGATCCCACCCCACTTACAGAGTGCTCCAGAGGTGCTCGAAGGTGGTGCCTTCATCAGCTGGGGATGACTGAGACATCTTCACAGCAGGGGAGTCCGACAGGGGATAAATCACTCTGGGGGCAAAGGGGAACAGCAGGGTTAGCACTGCTGTGCCGTGCTGTGCTGTGCTGTGCTGTGCTGTGCCATCTCACTCCAGCAAAGCAGCTGCCCAAGGGCAGGAATCCCTCAATCCCAACTCACTCCCAGCAGCAAGGCAGGGACCAGAGAGCCCCAGAGCCCATGGCAGAGGACACACAGGGGGGCACACAGGATCAGAGCCCCCAGAACTGCCGTGGGGGACACTCAGGGCCAGAGATCTTCAAAGCCATGAGGGGGACACAGAGGACCAGAGGCCCTTAGAGCCATCAAGGGGACACAGAGCCCCCACAACCATCGTGGGGGACACACAGGACCAGACCCTCCCCAGAGCCCATCATGAAGGACCACAGGACTGGACATGGCCCATCATGGGGCACAATGTCTGCAGTCCCAGCAGTGCAGGCCAGGGCAGCAGGCAGGGATGACCCAATCTCAGCAGAATGAATCCATTTTTCAGGCAAAGCCTCCTGGATGCTGCTGCACAGTCACAGCCAGAGCCAAGCTCAGTCCAGTCCGTTCCCCTCGCCCCTGCACAAGGATCCTTGGCCTCTCTGAGGCACGGCAGGAAAGCAGCTCAGCCCAGCTCTCTCTGTGTGCCCAGAGCCTCTCAGACCCAGCAGCCAGAGCTGGAGGTTTCACGGAGCCATCTTGAGCCTCGTGCTGCCTTCCCCTATGGGAACCATCTTCCTCCTCCCTTACCCTCTCCCTGCAAGCAGCAGGACCTCTTCCCTGCCTGGCTGACCCGGGTACACCCCCAGGCACATCTGGCTGCCCCTTTTACCCACGCTGTGTTAGCATCCCATCTCAGCTGCGACATCTCAAAGTGAAAACCCGACACTTCCTGCTTGTGGAGCGCTTTTGGGGCTGCCGAGTGGAGGGCAGCTGCTCTCTGAGTGAGGGATGCTCGAGGTTGTCTGGGCCCCTCTGACTCAGCTGGGGACCAGGCAGCTGCAGGGGAGAGAGTTAAAATGAAAGCAGGGAAGCTTTCCCCGGCGGTAAATCCCGTGAGCTGCTTTCTACAAAACACAGCATCCGCAGCCACCCTGCCTGGAGGAATTCCCACGGCACAGGAGGGCACAGGAAGGCACAGGAGGGCACAGGAGGGCACAGGAGGGCACAGGAGGGCTCGTTCCCCACGGGTCCCATGTCAGGGACAACTAACAGGCAGAGTCTGATGTCCTCCCGTCCCTCCTCATCCCACGTGTGACACAGAGAGAAATGAAAGGACCTACGGGCAGCTCGGAGAGGAAGAAAAGCCTAGAAGAGATGCAGGTGACAGAACAGGATTGCTGGCGGCCTTACCCTTCTTCCATGCTGCTTTCCCTGGCCCAGAGCAGCTTCAGGAAGTAGTCAGGCCTTTTCCTCCAGAGGAGCTAGCACCTCTGCACCGCCCCGGCTGTGTGGTCATCACGGGTGACACCAGCTCTAACCACGTGGCTGCTCTCGTTTTCAAAAGGAAAGAAATCTGACTATTTTAAGGGTGTTTTGGAAGTTCCCTTTCACTCTTTCAAAGCACAGCCTGGGTTTGCAAAGCCAGGCCAGCATCTTCTCATGTTTGAGCTCTGAACTAAGGGGTACAAAGGGAAGCTGGGGTGGTGGGTGCTGTTAAGGCATATCCCTGCCTCTCTGATCCCTGCTCATCCTGGGAAAGAACCTCTGCAGCAAGAGTGATAGCCTGGCACCAAGCACCTACGTTGGTAAAGAATTTGCCAACCAATTTACCTACAAATAGGGTTCCCTAAAATTTGTCTGGTGCTGATCTAATTCCCTCTGAAAGGAGGTGCCATTTAGAGCCCCATTCCAGGGAATGCTGGAGGCATTCACATTTGGGAAGGTGGGAAAGCACTGTGATAGTGAAGTCCTGCAGAAGGAAAAGTTACCCTGCGGGAAGCAGTGGGAGCTTTGTGCAACATCAAAATTAAAATAAATTGGGAAGAGACAAATTCTGCATTGCTCTGGAAGCATTCCTGGTGGCTTGGATGTAATTCCCGTGCCCAAGGTTGAGCAAATGACACCTGGGGCTGAGTCCAGGACCAGCCACAGCCCAGCTCAGCTCCCTGTCCCTTCCAGTCCCCCACTTTCGAGCCTATTCGGCCTCTCCCCTGACTGTGTCAGCTCCCTGCTGTCACCAGCTCCCCACACCAGAGGGAAGACCTGGGGTTTAATTCTGACTTCTTCCAGCAAGAATTCTCCAGCCAGACTCCACCAGGAGGATTATCACCTCCAGTGATCCCAAACTACTTATTAAAGTGGAGAGCTCCTTGCCCAGGGAAATTCCAGCAAGGAATTCTCCATCCTTTCCAACTCGACGCGCCAGGGAGGCAGTGGGGGATGCTTGGCACGGCTGCCACAGCTCGGGAGGAACCTGCACTGGGTTTATTGCAGGTTTCGAAAGGGAAAAAGACCAAAATGTGCAAACCATGGGGTTGGTGCTGGGATCCAGGGTTGCCGGCGTTCACTGCACTCCCAGCCGGCTCCAGAGCTCCCTGGATTGCTGCTTCCCTCTGTTGCTAGTGAGGGCATTGCAGGGAGGCTGCACACGGATAAAGAGCCCGGCAGAGGCAGAGAAAGCTGCGAACAGGCGATCCCCCACCTCTGCTCCCCGTGGCACCCGGCTCAGCCCACGGCGGGGCTGCCACCCCCGGCATGGCACACCCGGTGCGGTTCCTTCTGCCCACGGAGCTTCCCTGTGAACGGCCGCTGAAATAATTTCCAAAGATTAGTATGGAAAAGCTCCACGTACTCAGTTTCCATGGTGCTGTGGAAAACCCAGCCCCATAGACAGAGGGAGAAGGAAAAGCACGGACCAAGATCCTTACAGCCACCCAAATGTGGGAGAACAACTCCCTGGAGAAGCAGAGCAGATCAATCTCCGTCTATCCAACAGCGCTTCACTCACGTGTTGTGAGCACAGAGTCTGAATAAACTATTAGAATTATTATAAATTCAACTTTTTTCATCACGATGAGGACGGTGGAGGGCACCGTGGGCTCTCAGCCTTGCTGCTCACTGAGTTTCTGCTCTCTCTGGAAGGAGCATCTTTGACCTCACTATCAACTTTAGGGCTCAGGTTCAGCACCAGAAATGCTCAGTGTTATCACTTGGTGATTCACTGCTATCCTGCTACTCCAACAGCCCAGAACTAAACGACAGCGTTTTGCAGCCACCTTAAAGGGAGACAAATGCACAAACCCCATATAACAGGGCTATGACTAATTCCCAAGGACTCTCAGGGAGAGCAGGACTTCTGAGAGCCGTTCCCACCTCTCACACGGAGCTGCTCCATGACTTGGGAACTGGCCCTGGACCTTCTCTCCTTCCCACAATGAGACCTATCAGCTCATCCAGCCCACCGCAAACAACTCAATGTTTGCAAAAATGCTGCCAGTCCACGGTACCAACGCTACCCTGTGCTATCATTCATTTGTCCCGAACTGTTAAATTCCCACCTGTAAAAGCAATAGAGAGCGAGTGAGCTTTCCTGCAGCACACTTTGAATCTCAGGACCCCTCCGTGGGGTCCAGCAGCTTATCAACAATTTTCTTTCCGAGGAGGAGGCAGTTTGGACAGAAATCCTCTCCGGCTGCATCACTGACAGCAGCCCGTGATGGGGCAGGAGGCTGAGGCCGCTGCTCCCCCTCCCTCCTTGGCAGCCCAGCCAGGGACCTGGGGCAGCCAGCCAGCCCCTGCATCCCACCGGCATCCAGCCGCTGCGTTGCTTCTCCCATTCAAGGCTCCTCCAAAAGTGCTTTCACTCCAGAGTTAAAGCACTTGGGAGCAAACTTCCCGAGACACTTTAATATTGTGCCCACAAACCCACGAAGCAAAGCGGCCGCAAATCATCTTCCAGCCGCGTTATCGGGCGCTCGGGAGAGGGTCGTGCCGAGAAACCCACACACCCAGAGCAAGGGGTTTCCTTTTGTAGGTTTTTTTTCCCCCTCCTACCTGCGTTTTGAGTTCCCCCGGAGGTCTCCCGCAGACAGGAGTGGCCTGGGATTGAGGATCTACGTTATTTACTGCACTACACTGGAGTAGCGTCCCGGTCGCCAAGGCAATGACATTGGAGCTGCTGGAAGCTGTGTGAAAAGTGAGGCAAAAGCTCCTGCGCTCCTTCCTGGAATAGGAGGCAGTTGCAAGGGGGTGGGGAGTGCTCAGCCAAGCGTGCCAGGGAATTAAAGCTGGTCACCAGCGCCAAAGTGACGCCAGGACAAGTTGGCTGTGGGGGCTGCAACAGCGGCAGCACCGCTGGGCTTTAATCAGTCACAGAATCTGAATGGTTTGGGTCGGAGAGGACCTTAAAGATCGTCTCATTCCACCCCTGCCATGGGCGAGGACACTTTTCACTGTCCCAGGTTGCTCCAAAGCCTGTCCAACCTGGCCTTGGACACTTCCAGGGATGGGGCATTCAGCAAAGGACACTCAGGTAGATCAAGGAAGTTCTCCCCGTCATCAGATTGATGGACTGAGCAGGTTTTGTGTTTGCGTTCAGCCAAATGACCAGATCATCTCTCCTGGGGCGGTCTGGGGGTCGGGAAGGGCTCCGGGATTCCCTGCGCTGCTTCCCCCAGGGAACAGCGGCTTGCCAAGGTGCACGGAGAGGGGCAGTGGGCGAAGAATGAACATTTCTGAATAAAAACCATCACCCGCAAGGCTGATTATGGGCTCACAGACACCCTGTCACACTGACACCCCCCTCACAAAGCCCCGTGTCGCTGGTCACTTGCCCTGGGTCACCCAGCAGGCAGCGAGCACTGCTCATCCTTGGGCGACCACTGCTTGTGTCCAGGTCCTCTGTGGCCACCAACAGACACCCCCTGCCCACAGGCACCCCCACATCCCATGTGGGGCAGATGGTGACGGCAGAGAGCTGTCACGTCTGTCCCTCTTTTGTGGGGGCAGAAAACCGATGCATTCACCCCCCAAAAAACCACATTGGTGGGACTGGAACCAGCTTTTGGAACCCAAAAAAATCCGTAATAAAATCAAGACTCGAATCCTCAAAACTTCTGATCGTGAGGTTTATTTTGAAGTGGTGATGATTGTGGCACCCCTACAGGGAGGGGGGGTCCCCACCAGGGCCGTGCTGTCACTGGGACGTGAGCCAGGCTTCTGCCACCCAAAAATTCCGGGGGTACAGACCGTGGGGACGAAGGAGGACCGTTGTGCATCCCCCCTGGCTGTTCAGAGGGGGAGGGATGCAGAGGAGCCTCAGCCCGTGGCACCAGAGAGTTCTGGGGACACTTAACTGTGTTTTGGGAACTCAACATCCCTGTCACCCTCCTCGTTCCCCCTTGGCTCTTCTGCTCCCTGGCAGACGGCTGCACTGGGAGGGGGCTGGTTCCCAAAGGAACATGCTCCCTAAGACGGGTTATTCAGGATCTGCCCCTCTCCTGGTGTGCTTATATTTATTTGTTGATTGATTCCAGTCAGTTCACATCCTTTTTGCTGGGATATCTCTATTGTAATTGTTAGTTCCTCTGTCCTGTCCGGGGAATCTGGCGGGACATCCCACCTGTGCACCCGTCGCTGTCGGTAATTAGCCGGCAGTAGTGATTAGCCCGAAGGGCTGATTAATTAGCCAGAAGAGCTGATTAATTAGCCAGAAGGGCTGTTCCGGGCGCGGGACGCTGCCCGCGGAAAGGTGCCAGATAAGGGAGGGTTCCCTGAGGATAGAGAGAGGAGGGGGAACGCGCTCCCCAGCTCATTAACCGCGTCATTACCCGGCTCATTAGCGGCTCATTTGCATACCAATGCGGCTCGCGCGGCGCCTTCCCGCGCGCTTCCCGCCGCCGGGCGCCCCCTGCCGGGCCGGCGCGGGGACCACAACTCCCGGCGTGCCCCGGGGCGGCCCCTCCCGCGAGGCCCCGCCCCTTCCGGCGGGCCCCGGCGGAGCCGAGCGGGGCGGGCGGAGCGCGGCGGGTTCGAATCCCGGCGGCGCCGCGCCCGCCATGAACTTCTCGGAGCTATTCAAGCTCTCGGGGCTCCTGGGCCGCTTCTCCCCCGACGGGAAGTGCCTGGTGAGTGCCGGCCGAGGTCAGCGGGGCCGCGCGGCCCGGGACGGGGCGGTTGGCGGGGCCCCCGAGCGGCCGCGGCGCGGGGCTCCCCGGGCAGGGCCGGGCTGAGGGCGGACACGGAGCGGGCAGCGATGGAGCCCCGGAGCCTGCGGGCCTGAGCTCAGAGGCTGCTGCCGGGAGCCTTTGAGGCTGTAAGGGTCTATACCGGAGACCTGAGTTACGTTAAATTAACCTTAATTAGTTAGATGAATTAGTACTTTAAATTAAGTAGTACCTGAAGGGAGCTTACAGGAAATATCAAGGGGGACTCTACAACGGTTTGGAGAGGCAGGACAAGGGAGAACAGCATCAGACAGGGTTAGATGGGATATTAGGAAGGATTTCTTCTTTGTGAGGGTCCTGAGGCCCTGGCACAGGGTGCCCAGAGAAGCTCTGGCTGCTCCTGGATCCTGGAAGTGTCCAAGGCCAAGTTGGGCAGGGCTTGGAGCACCATGGGATAGTGGAAGGGGTGGAACTGGATGAACTTTAAGGTCCCTCCCAACCCAAACCATTCTGGGATTCTATGAAATAAAGTAAGTTATAAGACAGAAAGTAATTTTATAAAAACTGGAGTTACTTACCCAGCAGTGATGGAAACAATGAGGATTCTGTTTATTACCATAAAATCCCCTTTCCCCTGGGTTAGTTCTCACTGTAGTTTGTAGTGGAGCTCAGTGTATATAGAACAGACTTACAGAATCCTGGACTAGTTTGGAGTGCAAGGAACTTTAAAGCTCATCTAGTTCAAAGGTCCTGCCATGGGCAGGGACACGGTCCACTATTCCAGGGTGCTCCAAGCCCTGTCCAACCTGGCCTTGGACATTTCCAGGGATGGGGCAGCCACAGCTGCTCTGGGCACCCTGTGGCAGTGGCTCACCATCCACAGGGAGGATTTTTCTTTTAAATAATACAACATTGACCCTCTCTGAACTAAACCTGGGATCACAGTAAGCCTGGCAGGAACGGCCCTGGCACTGTCCTAACCCTAACCCTGCCCCAGCTCAGCCCTGCCCCTGTCCCCCCAGGCCTCGTGTATCCAGCACCGTCTGGTGGTTCGGGATGCGAGCTCCCTGCAGATCCTCCAGCTCTACACCTGCCTGGACCAGATCCAGTACATCGAGTGGTCCTCGGACTCCCTGTTCATCCTGTGTGCCATGTACAAGCGGGGCATTGTCCAGGTGAGGATGGAAGCAGGACAGGGCGTGGTTCCTGCTGGTACCTGGGTGTGATGTGGGAGCTTAACAGCCAGCACTAGGCTGAGGCTTTGCTGAAGTACCTGATGTTATTGATAACACAACAATGATTTTGAAAGCCACGACAAACATCTTAGATTTAAAAAGAATCTTTAGGATAAAAATATCTAGTGAAACAGATCAGAATTGGAGATTATCTTCCCAATTTCTTACTGCAGTAGGAAGTAAATAACATGCAAGCTTGTTAAATGGACTAAACATGTTAAAATGTTGGATATTCAGAATATTTGTCACAGAAAAAAACCAACCCCACATTATTTGCCATTTCCACGAGGTGTGGGACTCACTTTTGCAGCGGGATCCAGCGCCAGTCCTTCATGGCTGCGGGTGCTTGGGTGTTCCTGAGCTCCCTGAGGCGGGATGCAGGAGCCTGCTGTCAGCTGCAGAGGTTTGGACGAGCAGAGCTTTGGGTGAGCTGATGTCTCCTGCTCTGTCTGGTTGCTCCCTGCCCCAGGTCTGGTCCCTGGAGCAGCCGGACTGGCACTGTAAGATCGACGAGGGCTCCGCGGGATTGGTGGCTTCATGCTGGAGTCCGGACGGGCGTCACATCCTCAACACCACCGAGTTCCATGTGAGTGTGCAGGGTTGCTCCCCTCGGTGTCAGATGTTGCTGTCTGCCCTTTGCCTCCTAAAATAACCCAAAGCCCTTAAAGCTGCAGCGGTGGTGGAGAGCAGCACGGATGCAGCTCTGTACTGCTGTGTGTAACTCGGGTTAATTCCAGGTTAGGTGTTGGGCATTCCACTAACATTTTGTCCTCTTGCTTCTGGTGTTAAGATAGAAAATGGACACTTAAATTTGAAGGTAAAACTGTGTGTTTTAGAATATATCTAATGTTTTTTATATTGATGGTATTCATCAAAGCAGTCTTAGAAATCCAGTATGTTGCTTCCACGGTGAGAAAAGCTCGGGATTTCTAGTTAAAAAAATCCAAACCATAAACGTTTCAGAGTGATTTTAAATTAAAACTTATAGGCTTATCTTTATTGACCTATGAGATGAGATTTAGATCCAGATCCTGGAAATATTTTCCCAATTGCTTCATTTGACACACAGGAGCCAGACTGCTCGTGGAACCACTAACACCTTTAATGCTTATTGAGACTCATATTGAGGAATGCTATTAATGTAGAATACAAATTGATTTGTGGATGATTGATTTGTTGGAAAGCACGTGAGACACTTTCTGTTTTGTGTTTACTCTTTCCAAACCTGTGGAGGGGTTTTAGATGACAGGATCTTGTCCAATAACACTGGTTAGCATAGAGTTCACATGCTGTAGTGCAAGATTCCCCCTTTTTTTGGGCCAATCCCGGTGTTAATGGGATATGGCTGTGGTCTCTGCTGTGTGTGTGTACAGACCCACTCCCCCATCCCTCTAGTTTCCCCAGGTGTGAATTGCCCTGATAGCGGCAATAAAAATTAAAAACAAGCCCAGAATTCCAGCCTGGAGGCAGTGCAGTCATCCCTGCTGGTCAGGCAGCAGCAGAGGAGGCAGAACTGCAGGCTGGGGCTGTGTGAGGCTCCCAGAGAGGATCTCGTGGCACGTGCCTGTGGGGGTGGACCAGTGAGGATTTATTGCCTCCCAACAGAACTCGGTTTGACCTTAGAGGATTTCATTAAGCCTTTGCCAAGTTGGCATCTGTGTTGGGATAAGTTTCCTTTCCAGCTGTAAACAGGTTGCTAAATTAGCTGTTGTCAGACAGCTGCCGTGGTTGGAGCTGTGTTTACTCCCTCCCTGCTAAATCCACAGTCTGGGGAGATGGATGTGGGCAGTGCTCAGGATATTTAATATCAGTGTGTTATCAAATCTAGCGATTTCCTGGAGGGTTTGGGGGTTCCCTGGGCTTTGGTTACTTCCAAACAGCACCAAGTAACCACTCATTCTTGTTATTCCTCAGGTCAATGTGTGAACTCCACTGAGAGCTCACAAGAAACTTTCTTATTCCCTGAGTTTTTTAAAGGTTATGGTTATGCTAATTTCTTTCTAGCAATCTGTACTTACTAGTGCCTCAGAAAAATCATTACAGAATCCCTACAAGTACAGAATAGTTGGAGTTGGAAACGCCCTCTGGAGATCATTCAGTCCAATCCCCACACCCGCCAAGGCAGGGTCACCTGGAGCAGGTGACACAGGAATATATCCAGGTGGGTTTGGAATGTCTTCAGAGTGAGACTCCACACCCTCCCTGGGAAGCTTCTCCAGTGCTCTGCCACCCTCCATGGAAAGAAATCCTTCCTCATGTTGAGGTGGAACTTGTTGTGTTTTAGTTTATGGCCATTACTCCTTGTCCTGTCACTGGCATCTTAAAAAGGAGTCTGGCACCATCCTCTGGAATTCCTCAGCTGATTTGTAGGGTTTCTGGTCAGTGCTCCTCCTCTACTGAAATCCACTCTGGGAGGCAGTTCCACATTATCAGAGTGTCCTGTGGAAGGTGTTGAACCCCACGTGACTCCTTCCACTGCCATCGTTACACCAGAATTTACAGACACAGGTAGAGCTTAACCAACAGCTGCAGGTGAAGGATCTGAAGGAAAGCAAATGGATCCTCTTCACATTTCTGAAAGTGCTCAAAGCCAGCTCGGACAGGGCTTGGAGCAACCTGCTCTAGTGGAAGGTGTCCCTGCTCATGGCAGGGGATGGGATAAGATGAGCTTTAAGATCCCTTCCATCCCAAGCCATCCTGGGATTCTGTGATTCTCTGCTTCCTCCCGATCCTCATGTTTTGGGATAAATAGCATGAAGATGTTCTGGAGTGTTTCTCTGAAGAGCTGTGCTTATAAACTACAATCTTTGTGCTTTGTCTCATTCCATGTCAGGTCTTTAAGCATTAAGGAGCTTCTTTGGACCTCCAGCAGCAGGGAAAAGTGTGTGTTTCTGTGTGTATCCCAGCTAATCCTTAGTAACTGTGCGTGGCTGCATTGGCTGAAAAATGCTTCCTGGCGAGGAATGCACTCTGAATAATCTTCTGAAATCCGGTGCTGACAGACACTGCTATGTAAGGGGGCCAAGTGACCCAGTCAAGTCTGGGACAAGAGTTGACAGTCATTTGAGCTGTAGGTTGTTTAAAAGTGTGTTTTTGTCTGCTGAAAATCACCAGTCCTACACCTGTCTGGAGCTGTCAACATCGGCCTGTGGTCCTGGGCCCAGTGCTGGAGACTGTTTATCACGTTACCATCTAAATACTTTTTATTTCTCAGCTGTTTTTAGGCTATTTTAAAAATGCTTCTGCTTTTGGTTTGTTTTTCCACTGCAAAACAACAGCTGAAAACTTCTGAGACACCATTATTGTGAAGATTTGAGTTTGACAACTCCACTCAGTCGAGTTATCTGTGCTGAAGAGAAAGTATCTCCCAAAAGGAGCAGTGCAGAAGGGCTTCCTGCAGACTTAACTGGCCACGGTCTATTCTCCTTCTATAAAAACAATTGTCCCTTCTCTGTGAATTCCCTGAGAAAGGCAATGAGCAGCAATGGAAATTCCTTGTCATTTTTGAAACTTTTGATTTCTTTTCTCACCCTCTGTGTTTGGTGTTTCTGTTGCTCCTGATCCTGTCTGCAAGCTGTGACATAATCCTTCTAATCTTCTTCATCTCATTTATGTTGGCAGTGTAAATGAGATTGTGGAATGTTCCAGGTGGGAATACGAAGGTTTTCCCTCTCTGTCACAATTCAGTTGTAAACACAAAGTTAAGGGAAGGGGGTGTGAAATCCACACATTAAGCACATAATGTGAATTTCTCTGTAGGAATGTCTGGGTGGACACAAAAGGAACAACAGAAAAGGATCCTACTTTCAGGAATCAAAATGGTTTGTTTGGTTTTGATAGTACTAGGCCAAACCATCAAGTTGTGTGAGTTTGGTGGGAAGTTACAATGGAATTATAGAATGTATCTGTGTGCTTCCCTCTGAGCCTGCAGCCCTTGCAGGGGGGAGTTTGGAGTTGAATAAAGAGGACAGGATGAGAGGACACGGCCTCAGGCTCTGCCAGGGGAGGGTTAGGTTGGACATCAGGAGGAATTTCTTCAAGGAAAAGGTGGTCGGGCATTGGAAGGTTTTGCCCAGGGAGGTGGTGGAGTCCCCATTCCTGGAGGTGGCACTCGGTGCTCTGGGCTGGGTGACAAGGTGGGATCAGGCACAGGTTGGATTTGACTCGATGATCCTGGTGCTCTTTTCCACCCTCAGTCAATCTGTGAATAGGGGATTTGAAACAAGATGGTCTTTAAGGTCTCTTCCAACCCAAACCATGCTGTGATTCTATGATCTTATTAGATGTTAAAGGTGTGTTGTGGCTGATAAATGGAGTGAAGATGAGGGCTTTGCTTATCAGACACTTGGAGGCATCTGGCTTAGTTGTAGTCTGGGTTTTTGCAGGTGTGTTTTTGTGTGTGTGACTGCCATGAAATGTGTGCTGGCTGTACTCTGTGGGCTCTCCCCAGTGCTGCAGAGGCACTGGGGCAGTTTATTGTCCATGTTTTGGGGCACACAGTGCAGGGCAGTGCCCCCTCAGCAGTATCAGGGTGTGATGGCACCAAAACATCCAGTGCCAGGAGCTTGTGCTCAGCACTGAGAAACAGGAAAACCATTATTGTCCTCCTTGAGGAGTCTCAAAGCTTGACCTTTTTGGAGAAGCTGCTGTTTTACAGCAAATGGAGGTTTAGATTGGATATTGGGAAAAAATTCTTCATGGAAAGGATTGTCAAGCATTGGAACAGGCCCCTCAAGGGAGAGGTGCAGTCAGTATCCCTTGATGGATTTAAAAGACGTTTAGATGTGGCACTTGGGAATGTGATCTAATGGTGGCCTTGGCAATGCTGGGGAAATAGTTGGACTCGGTGGTCTTTGAGGGCTTTTCCATCCTGAATGATTCTGTGCTTCCATGATGGAACAGAGATGGATGCAGAAATATTTAGAAACCAAGATTTTCTTTGGCTGAGCCTCGGGCAGGGCAGAGGTGACAGTGAGAACTCAGCATGGGCTGTGCTGTGCCCCATCTCCAGAGATTTGTGTGCTCATGAGCTCAGCATGAGCAGCAAGGTGTTTCCTCCTGAGGCTTGGAGCAGGCAGTGTGGTCCAGGCTGGAAGTGTGTTTGATGGCCAGCAGGCCAGGGGGGCTGTTCATGAGGCCGAGTAGCAGCACTCAGATGCCTTTGTCAGGAAAAATGATGATCCAGCCCTCAGCATTTGAAGCCTGCAGCTGCTAAGCTTGTATTAAGTGGCTGGAGAATGTGTGCTGTTTTACTCAGGGGAGGCAGGGCAGCCAGTGCATTTAGGGCTGCAATTAATAGTCTCCAGCAGCATTTCAGTGCTGCAGTTGCTGCAGAAGAATGTGTGGAGGCATCATGTTGGTATTTTTAAAGTAAATCTTGCCTGAGGAGCAGACTGACAATGCTGGGTTTGGCTGGCCGGAAGTGAGAGGCCCCAGGGATAAAAGTTGATTAATGTTCATCTCGTGGATTCTTCCAGGAGCTGCTGAACTTAGAGGAGGAGGTTCTGTCCCTCTGCCCTGGCCAGGTGAGGCCCCACCTCCAGAGCTGCTTCCAGCCCTGGGGTCCCAGCATAGGAAGGTCCTGGAGCTCCTGGTGAGAGTCCAGAGGAGACCTCAGGATGAGCAGAGGGATGGAGCAGCTCTGCTTTGAGGAAAGGCTGGGAGAGCTGGGACTGAGAGGAGAAGCTTTGGGGTGACCTCATTGTGGCCTTCCAGTGCCTGAAGGGAACTTCCAGGAAAGGAAAGGTGGAGATTTCCAAGGGCCTGAAGTGACAGGACGAGAGGGAATGGCTTGACACTGACAGAGGACAGGGTTAGGTGACATACTGGGAAGAAATCCTTCCCTGTGAGGTTGGACAGGGCTTGGAGCAACTTGCTCTACTGGAAGGTGTCTGTGTCCATGGCAGCAAGGGAAAAACCTCCAACTTCTGTTGCAACACAGAGCCTGCAGTGTTACCAGTGAAGCAGATCCATAGGCTGCTCCCTCAGGATCCTTTGTCACCAATGTGCCAGGTCCTTCAGGGGAGGAAAAGGTGTGTCAAGGACAAACCTGCAAAAAGGTGTAGGAGAACCTTTCCCCAACACCACTGGGGTGCTGCTGGGCTGTGTGGGGTGTGAGAGGACGAGGAAATGGGGACAATGCTGGCGTTTTACATAATGGATCGGAATTATTTTTGGTGTTCAATAGTTCAGGGAAAGGCACCTTTGTGATGGAGGTGCTTCACTGCAAAAAGTCCTACCTGTAGCTCTTCCTTGGTGCAGTAAAATGCAGGAAAACACAAGTTAAAAAACCTGACCCTGGAAACATTCCTTGCTCCAGCTCCAAATGCAAAGGTTCACGTGCCATGCTGGTGAATGCCCATGTGTCTGGGGCTGCCGTTGCTAAGGGAGAGGGAGTATTTGTTTTTAATTGGGTAATATGCAGATGGCAAGGCACAGCCTGGAGTGCAGCTGTGACCTTGGGGAGGCTGGGTCTGCAGCTGCCTGCCCTCTCTGCAGCTCTTGGTGCTTGTGTAGGCACAGTTCTCCAGAAATCCCCCAAACACCAGTGTAAAGCCTTGCTTTGCATAGCAGGGTTTGGGTGTCTGAATTTCTCAGTAGTTCTGTAAGGGTGCCTCCTTGTGTGTGCCTGAGGAGGGAAGAGCAAAACACGAATCAGCCATCAAAGCTGAAGGTTTATGAATGTTGTAAAATACAGCTCAGTGTTCACACCTGGTAGCCTTTTCCCAAGGGGTACAGTGTTCTGAAGGGGCTGTATCTTGTCATAAAGGCAGGAAACTCCCCATCTCTTCTCCAGATTCTGTGATGAATCTGTTTTTCCAGCTGCAAAGTTACTCTAGGCAATAGACTGGGAAGACATTTGTGGAAATGTCAGGAGCTTCAGTGTTTGTGAAGAGGTTTTCTTTGTATCAGTGATGTGAATTTTGTATCCCCATCTAGAGTACCCGTGTAAGCTTAGCGTAAATTCTCTGCTAACTGCCAGAAACTGGGAAAGAATTCCTCATAGCTGCTTCCCAGGACATTGTGTTTTACAAAATAGCTGCAGAATTAATAAATCACAGAAGCTTCATTGATCAGCTTTGTGTTGCTGAATTAAGTTGATGTTTTCCTATTAATTTTTTTTTTTTTTAATCTACAAAAATAACCAAAACCGCTCCCTGTCTCTGTGCCAGCTGCGAATCACGGTGTGGTCCTTGTGCACCAAGTCTGTGTCTTACATCAAGTACCCCAAAGCTTGCCAGCAAGGTAAGTGTCACACACCTACCTGGGAATGCTCCTTTAATGTGGCAGAAAGGGAAAATGACTTTATTGTGATGACAAACCCCCTGCTTGGTCTCGTCCCTTCTGAGCAGCACGTGCAGCCAGGTTGTGGTGTCTGAGTGAAGGATTCCAGCTGATCCACGTGCCTGCTCTTCACATGTGCCCCTGTGTTGTGTTTGCCTCTGAGGGATCCTTTAAGACATTAAATTATGCTGGACGTGCTCTCGATGAAAAGCATTAATTTGAAGTGACTTTTGTCATCTTCTGCATATGGAAAGGCTGGAAAGGAAAGCTTGTGTCAGGGCTGTCAGACCACATGGCTGTGGTGAGCAGTTTCCTGCCCAAGGCCTGTATCCCAGAGATGACAAGGACAATTATGTATCCCATGTAAAATCCAAGGGGATGGGGAGCAATGCCTGGGAGTTGGTGGAGACCCGATGGTTGCATAACTGATCCATTTAGCCAGGCTAAATGAAGTGGTTATTTGAAATCTGTTGGGTTTATATAACAACTGTCAGTGGTTAGATGTGTTTTGAAGCACACTGGAGCTCTGCATCCTGAGAAGTTGTACATTCCGAGCTGAAAAATTGCTGACACAATGAATCAGTAACGCTGTGCTTTGCCTTGATTAATGTGACCTTCTGTGAAGAGATTCAGTCTCCTCTTTTATTTCTGCTTTGAGTTGGGAGCAACTGTTCCTTGCTGAAGCCTCATCAGCTCTTCTGCCTTGTCTGATTTCTATTTAAGCCAGTTTTAATGAATCTGTCCCGTGGCAGGGATGGCTTTTACCAAGGACGGGCGCTACATGGCCGTGGCGGAGCGGCGCGACTGCAAGGATTTCATCAGCATCTTCGTGTGCAACAACTGGCAGCTCCTCAGGGTAAGCTCTGCCTCTCCTCCACTGCTGTGGAGGTTACCTGCACATATTGGACACTGCTCCATTAGGAACAGGGAGAGTAGCAAGTGCTTGGTACTTGAGATGTGATATAAACTGTTCACACATGGGATCAGATTGTGGAGTTCATTGGCCACGGGCTGGATCTGGGCAATTAAACCTCACGAAGAACTTGTCTGTGTGTTGTCTCACCTCTAATTTGGGAATTCTGAGTCTCAGCAGAAGCTGAGAGAAAATTTGGGAAATATCACTAAATGTTTGTCGTGTTCCTGAGCTCTTCCCTAATGAACCTTGTAGTGGAAGCTGTGGCTGCCCCATCCCTGGAAGTGTCCAAGGCCAGGCTGGATGGAGCTTGGAACAGTGTGGGATAGTGGAAGGTTCCCTGCCCATAGGATGAGATGTAGGGTCCCTTCCAGATCAGACTGTTCTGGGATTATGTGATCCTATACTGGGCTTTAAGACAAGAAATTAGGCTTCTTGGATTTTTGACTGATTCAGTGTAACTAAGTTAATTTTCTTATGAAATGCTGTTCATTTGAAGGTATAGAAACTTTTAGCTTTTCTGTTGAGGGGATCAAAGATCCACTGAATGCAACAGGTATTACAAGAGGAAATATTTTTGTTGCTACTCTGGCATATGAAAAACTCTTTTGTGGTAGCCCTTGAAAGGTTAAAACTGAACATTCTGTCAGCTTAGGTGCAACGGGATTTGTTGACACATTTCAAGTGGTTTTGTGGTTTCTCTTTTGTGGGCAGCATTTCGACACTGAAACCCAGGATCTGTTTGGGATTGAGTGGGCTCCCAATGGCTGTGTGCTGGCAGCATGGGACACGTGCCTGGAGGTAGGAGGAAAAGCAGATTATTTTCTTGAAGAGTTCAATCTGGTCTTTGGCCATCATGTATAAAGCAGTGACTAAAGTGTTTCTTTTGAACATAAAAGGGTGTGAGTCCAGCTTTTGTTAAATATTACACTTGTACTAGGGATGGGTGTCCTTGCAAGTGGATGTCGCTGTTCTGTAAACCTTCAATGACAGCAAATTATTTCTAATTTATCTTGCAAAAAAATTGTAAACATTGTAGAAGCTGCTGTTGAAATAATGAAAGAGTAATGGAAAAAGAACAATGGAAGAGTGTAAGAGTGTTACTGACGTTGCACTGCACAGTGATTTTACAGTTAATGAAAGTACTCATCCAAAAAGAGAGCAACGAAGCCTCTTAACTCTCAGATAAGGAGCATTTGTACCTTTGTATTTAACTTGCTGCATGTTAAACAGGCAGAGTTTGTCAGGGATGATTTGCCTGCCTGTGGTTTCCAGCAGCATTGCTGGGTTTGAGTGGCTCTGTGTGTGTTGCAGTACAAGGTGCTGCTGTACTCCCTCGATGGGCGGCTGCTCTCCTCCTACCGCGCCTACGAGTGGCCCCTGGGGGTCAAATCAATCGCCTGGAGTCCCAGCAGCCAGTTCCTGGCCATTGGCAGCTTTGATGAGAAGGTGAGAAACGTTTCCTGCCTCTTTTATGTAAAGCGTTTGGAGAACTTTGCCCTAACAGTCTCCCCTTGCCACACTCCCTGAGCCAGGTGCGTATCCTGAACCATGTGACGTGGAAGAAGATCACAGAGCTTGACCATCCAGCAACCATTTCCAGCAAAAAGACTGTAAGTGTGGCTCCCAAATCCACGGAGTCCTTAGCAGAGCTTGGGTGCTGCTGTTTGTATCTGAACGATGCTGATGAATCCATTGCATTCTGGATGAATGAATTTTCTCCTACTTTTTTTCCCACTAGGGCTTGGGAAATTGTATGGCAACCTGGGAACGTAACAGAAATGTGGGAATCCTTTCAAATTTGATGGAATGTGTGTCTGTGATCTCTCTTGAGCAGTAATAGATTCTCAGATGCTCCTGTCATGTGCCAGTGTATTTTGGTGTAGGGGATGGCTGCATTACAGATTTGGGTGTGTAGCCAATTGCAAACTGAAAAACTGAACAGGAGAGATTTGTCTCAGCTTTATACAATTCCTAACTTTAAACAGTGCTGGAGCTGGACTGTGTTCAACTTTTCCATCCTGTGTGGACAGGCTCATCCAGCTCACCTAAGGGGCATTTCCTGGAACATCTGTCAGCATTGATTTTTATCCTTTATACCTGTACCTGCAAGGCCTGACAGATTCTGGGCTGTTGGCAGCAGGTGCAGAGCTGCTGTTCCCAAAATCCAGAGCTGATCTCATCCCTAGAGGTAACAAGAACAGTGTGTGATACTGTTTGCCATTGCAGAGGGACTGAACAGACCTCCTGGAAGAGTTTGTGTGTGGACTGTAAGTCTGCAATATTCACATGACACTGCCTCTTAACCAGGAGCAAGGCACGAGCCATTAAAGCACCTCAGCAAAGCTTCTCATGACTGAAAAATGCTTTAACTTCCAGTTAGGTGTAAAATATGTCATGGAAAACAAATGGAAATAGCTCTGTTAATCTCCACTACACAGACAGGAATTGCAGTTGCTGTGTTTTATCCTGGTGCTTGTGTTTGGGAATATGTTGCAGGCACACTAAAATATTTTTGCTATTTTCCTTCTGCAGTGCTGCACTTCCTTTGTGATAGAATCAGATTAAAGATTTTTGGTTGCAAAAATGAATTTATGTTCTCACTGTAATGGGAATGATTAATTTGCTGTCAGAAATAATGAACGAGGTGCACTCTCTCAGACTTATTCTTGGGAGTGTTTTTCCTGATGATGGTTCCAAGTGGCCCATGATTTACTGGGAATACTGGATTCCAGATCTGCCTCCTGAAGCCCTTTCCTCTGTTGATGAACTAGGGCATGCTGAGATGGACTAAATGTGCAAATGAGCCAGTGGGATGTGGGTATTTGGTAACAGCCCATGTTCAAACTCTCCGAGGCCCTTCTGTAGAGCTCTCGCTTGTTTCTTTGTAGATTGTGTATAAAGAAGTGGAGAAATCCCCAACTGTTGACACAGAGAGACTTACTTTCCCTCCAACAAGAGCATTGGCTAGTTCTCTCTTCAGCACACAGAGTAAATGTAAGCCAAAGTTTACTCAAACCACACACTTGAGTTTGCCTTGGGAAGTCTTTAAATAAACATTGTAGGTGAACTTTGCCCCTTGGATGGTGGAACAGATCCTCTGGATGTTCTCTAGGGCAGTAAAAATCAGTCTCGGTCTCTGTGACACTGTAAATCACTTTTGGTTAACAGTGTTTGAGATATTAGTTAAAAGGTAGTAGAAAAATTAATTTCTCCTCATTTTCCTGATTTAATCTCAGTCTTGCCTGAATTTCTAGCCTTTCCTTTTCTGTAGGAGGGCAGGAATAGCAGTAGGGTGGCTGTGTGAAGATGTGATATCTTAAAGCAATTGATATTTTGATTGGAACATCTTGGAGAAGAGTAAAATATGTTCCTGTCACTTCAGAGATGAGGGGTTTTAACAGTTGGATGTAAATGCATTGTCCATCCAGGCTCACTTAGTGAAATACTTTTATTTCCCATTCCAGATGAGATTTCCCAGGTGCCAGTTTCTTTACAGTACATCAAACCAGTTGCTGACAGGGCAAATCCCAAAGTGGGAGTTGGGATGTTGGCCTTCAGTGCAGATAACTGTTTCCTGGCAACCAAAAATGGTAAGTTCCGACTGCCCTGCCTAAAAGGGAAACCATGTGGGGCATGTGGGGGGTTTCCTTAGCAGAAATGATCTATAAAAAGCACTATAAAAAGAGTCATGGCCCTGTAAAATCAGCTCTGTTGTGAGATATGTAACTACAGAGGAATCCCAGCCTGTCTTCTAGTGTGTGTTAACTATTGTGAGCTGCCAGAACTGCTGATCAGGGCATGAACTCAGCCTTGGCTCTGTATTTAATGAAAATAGTGGGATTTTGTATTTCTTCAAGTTAGTGTGAGCTCACTGTATTAAAAATGAAACAAATCTTCCCACTTACAGCTTGGGTCTCTTAAAAGGCAGAACTCTGCACAACCCATAGCAGGAGGAATTCTGACTTCCTGAACAGCGAAAGCCATGGAATTCATGTTCCATTTTTCCCTTTGGTCCTAAGGGGCTGTTTGTGCCTGGATGCCAAAGCTCTGCATCCTGCAAAACCCATCAGACAGATTAATGTGCCTAAAAGCCAGGGAAGGACTGAGAGATGGACTAGATGGCTTTTACCTTTTCTTGCAATATTTCCAAGGCTGAGCATTTCCTGAAGGCTCTGCTTGGCAAAACTCAAGTGGTGCTAACCCTGAGGTGTACCTAAAGGTTTGTGTTGTATGAATTTGTTAATTTACAAAAACTATCCTTTTAAAAGGATCCTTTTACCCTCCAGCTCTCACACGATTGCTGCTTCCTCTGCAGATAACATTCCCAACGCCGTGTGGATCTGGGACATCCGGAAGCTGAAGCTGTCGGTGGTGTTGGAGCAGCTGTGCACGATCCAGGGGTTCCAGTGGGACCCCTGCCAGCCCCGCCTGGCTGTGTGCACAGGCACCAGCAGAGTGTACCTGTGGTCCCCAGCTGGCTGTGTGGTCGTGCAGGTGCCTGGGGAAGGTGAGCAGCAGCTGCCACAAGCTCTCAGCCACTGCTCAGGTTTGAAACTTTCTGTGCTGAAAGCCTGAAGCCTGGGAGTTTTAAACTTTCTGTGCTTTCTGACACTTGACCCCCAAAAGAGCACTGCTTTTGACTTGGGGCCTTGGAGGCTTCCAAATTCGAGTGATAGAATTATCACTGATGAGTAGTTAGAATAGAAGTGTGTAATTTCACATCTGCCACAACCTCTCAGCAACTGCTCAGTTGTTGGAACCCTGAAGAGAGTTTTAAACTTTCTGTGCTTTCTTACACTGACTCCCAAAAAAGCACTGCTTTTGACTTGAGGCCTTGGAGAAGGCTTCCAAATTTGAGTAATAGAATTATCAATGATGTGTAGTTAGAAGTGTGTAATTTCACATAATAAAGAGTTTTAAAAATTTGGGGTTTTAAAATATAGTAATAAGTATAAGACAAGATAAAAGTTCTTGAGTGTTGTCTCTTCTTGTTCCTTCTTCATGATTTCAGGTAGTAATTTTTAAATTGGATAATTAGTACCACAGTGCTAATTAAAAATAAATAAAAAATTAAACAAGTACTTAATTATTATGTCAAAAATATAAATTATATAAATGTTAGCTTTTAATTAGATAATTAAACTTTAAAAGACCTAGTAAGTAGCTAAATTCACCTCCATTTTCTCACTTTTGACTCAACAACTAAAAGTACTAAAGAACCCTCTATAAATAAAATTTAATAAACAACCAAGTCCAAACAAAAAGTCCATCTCTCAAACATTCAATCCTAACTCTAAATAAAAACAAAAAAAACCCCCTAATCACTATCACTCAGTGACAAAATATTATTCCATTTATAAATTGATCTGAGTGTTGTCCTGGAAATAGCTCAGGTGTGTTCTTGGAGCTGCTCAAAAATGTTTTTTTTTTTCACCCTTGGGCAAAGGGGTGTTCATAGTGAGACACAGGCAATGTCTCAGGGATTTGTGTGGCTGGTTCCAGTTGCCTTTTCCTCCTGCAGGAGGATGGGCTCCAGCTCCTTGCTGACACACTCTCATCTCTTCCCACAGGTGACTTCCAGATCACATCCATCTCCTGGCATTCCAGTGGGGACTCCATGCTGCTCCTGAGTAAGGACCACTTCTGTGTGTGTTACTTGGAGAGAGAAGAGGTAAAATAAAAGAACTAAAATGCATTAAAAACGCTCCCAAGTCTGAGGAAGAAAGAGGAAAGGAGTCAAAACCTATTGCCCAGTCTGAAGTGTTTGTATTTATAAGTTATTTATTTGAAGGAGCTCCAAGCTCAGTGTGTGAAATACTATGACTGCATTTGAATGAAGTGATGTAGCAAGTGAAATGTAAGGAATGAGTGTCTATTGCAAAAAAACCTGAGTATTGATGGAGTTGATCATCTCTTTTTCAACTCTGAACTCTTATTTTCTAAGACTGTAGCTCTATGTGTATATAATGTATAGCTATTATTTAAATTTTCTATTTCCAATAAATATTTTGATAGTTACAAACTATAAACCTGCACCTCTGCACTTGAAAGTCTGTTTCAGTGTGATCAGTGATGTGATGTAGTGATTTATCCCAGCACATGGAAACTGTTACTTGCACACAAATAATTTTGGGTGACAGTAACTGTGCCTGGGCCACCATGGATTTATTACATGGAATCTTTGCCAGAGGGATCACAGTTGACACTTCAGGATGCTGAATTACAGGTAACTGAAATGGGAGTTTTTGTCCCAACTCTGGTGCCAAATAGGAGTGGATGGTTTGGCAGTGAAGGAACAATTGGATATCCTTCCTTGTTTTCCCTTCCAAGGAGGGAGCCTCTTGTTTAGGAATTTACTGGATGTTTTTTCTTTTGCTTCTTAATTTCACAGCCTCAGTCTCCAGAAAATGAAGAACAAATACCAAGTAAGAGTTGAAATTTAACTTTACTGTAAGGTTAGTGAAAATTGAACAGGTAACTTAGAAAACACATGGAGAAGCTTGGAAAGCTGGAGTCAGGACAGACTGCAACAGGAGTTTCACAAACACTCACCTACATTTTTGACCTACATTAAGGTCAAAAAACCCCACCACTGCAGCACAATTTTCATCCAGCAGATAAATGCTCTGATAAAAAGGCATGGAAAGAAGGTCATGCATAAGGAGAAAGCTTGTTAGAGTCACCTCCTGAGCAATTACAGCTGTAATCTCTTGGGCTGCTTCTGAATTTCATCCCTGGATGAGAGGTTCAATGCAGGAATGTATGAACCAAGGCTGACACATAGTGCTGAAAGTTTTCTGTCTCCATTAAAAAGTCCTGGCCCAAACTAGAGTAGATTTAAGAAAAATGGTAAGAGTATTAATCTAACCAAAATAGAATTCCTTTTCAGTTCTGCAAAGAACAGCTTTGAAGGCAAACGTGTTTTTGAGGCTTTTGGCAACGTTCTCTCACAACAGTCTTTATTCTGTGGCTGCAGCAAAGAAACAGAAGTAGAGAGGAAGTTCCAGTAGGTTCTTAAAGGGATTTTTACAAGAAGCTCAGAAATGCATATATTGAGTTGACAAACTGCTGCTGAGCAGGTGGAACAGTGCAGCTTTAGCAAAAGCCAGCAAATACTGTTAAAGACTGACTGACAGCTTCGAAAATTCCTAAGAGGCATTAGTCAGAGCACTGAGATCATGGTGATTGGAACAGCAATTCCTCTTAAACAACACAAAGCAGTCCCAAGCACACGACAGGATTTGACACCGTACACAGGGATACAGCAGGGCCGTGGCACAAAGGTTCTGCTGTGCACTGGGGGTTGCAGCAGGTTCCAGTGGCACTTCATGGACTGGGAAGAGCAGGCACTGGGGAACAGAACACACCACGGCTCACTCACCCTGCCTAAGGACCAGTGAGGGCTGTAAATCAGCTACAAAATACAAGACTGACCCCACCCTGTGTCTGCTTCAACCTCTGCATTCCCCAAACGACCTGGGAACTGCCCTACAACCTCCCCCTTCCCTTTCCTTCCCCTGACAACTTTGCATTATCACATGCTCTGCCCTCAGCCCCCTCTCCCCAGGGCACCACCAGCAACTCACTTGCCCTTGCACAGGTGACACGCAAGGGGGTTTAAAATCCAATTTTGCCTCTTGTCATGGAGTAGCCCAGCTTGGCCTCGTTGTTGATGAAGGACATCAGTCCCAGGTAGGTCTCGATGAGGATGGGCCGCTCCAGCACCAACACCCCATTGGCACTTCCTGGCACTGGGCCCTCCTTGTGGGCTTTCTTCACAGCCTGGATCAGCTGTGTTTGAAAGTTTTCCAGCTGGAAGAAAAGAAATCACCTTGCTTTTGCATTGTTTTACAAACTGTTAAGAAAAACAGCTGCTGATAGGGAATGGTGAAGGATTAGCATTAAAGCTGTAGCTGTCATAGTCACAGTCTGGTATTTAACCTCAATGATTCAGTTAATTTCACACAGGGCACTGCTGATGTGGGACTTAGAACAGCGCAAAGATTTATCAGTAACCAGGTGTTTATTTCTGACTGTGTTTCTGCCCTGATCACTGATGTGTTATACTTAATAGTGCTCTAATTTGAGGCAAACCTTCAAATGGAAGCACCTATTACAAAAAGAACAGAGAACCACCTTGGTGAAGGTTGTCAGTGAGCAATTAAACCATCTGTTAATTAGCTGGCAGTCCTAGATGAAAAGTCCACCAGCCTGTCAGGTAAGTAAGAGCAGAAACAGCCCAAGATCCATTTGCTTTTGGGGTTTTACAGGATCTGCACCTTCAGAAGTTTTGGCTTCCTCTGTGTTTCAGCCAGTTAATGGTTGGCTGGAAAGAGTGGGCAGTGGGGCCACCCTGCAAGTAAAAATTTGGAGACTGGGGAGATGGAGCTCCCAGCTCTAAGTTCTACCTCTGATGAAACTGATTTTGTTTGATTAATTGATGTATTGCTTAAAAAGAATCCAAGTTGTGACCACCCTACGAGGTGAGTGAGCTGCCTGGGGCAGCAGAGGCCGTTCCTTACCCGGCACAGGGACGAGATCTTCTCGTCAGCATCTGCCATGGGGTGCTCAGTGAAGGTCACGTAGGGGATGTTGGTGGACCAGGGGTTCCACCTGTTGATGAAGGAGGCACGGCTCTGCTTGTCCCACTGGATGCGGATACCAACACCTTCCCTCCTGCCAGTGCACAAGGAACAGGGTAAAACTTCCCAGGCTTTGAGCAAAGTTGACTAAAAATGTTCTGTCTGAAAAAGACCTGTTTGAAACCAGAAGCTATCTTGAAAATACAAGTGATAGGAAATTTTACCGTAGGCAAGAAATGCAATAATTCAGCCCCTGAACTGTGCAAAGGGACATTCCTATGAGCTGAGAGCAAGAAGATGAAGCACCTGGGACACCCTGGCTGTCCTTCACAGCCTGTGGCAGCCCCTGCCACTCACAGCTTTCTACTCCTGATGAGGTGGTGTTACTACTACTTACTGCATTATGTAATGGTGATGAGTTTCTGCTCCCCCTATCTACTCAGCTTATCTTGAAAGTCCTTGGGCAACTTGTTGTTATTGGAACTACTCACCACGCCAGCACACCAGCAGCTACCCTGAGGTCTTCTAATAAAGCTTCAGGAATTGTTTGCAAAGTTAAGCAAGCAAAAGGAAGAATTCTCACATTCCAGTGGTCAGGCTACAGCTCGATCTGTTCCCAATAACTGCAGAACTTACACGTGACTGTGGCTGCTTACTTGTTGAGAGATTTGGGTGGGAACTGGAACTCCCCCACGGAGATGGTGTCCACAGCACTGAGGGCAATCCTGGTCACATGCTGGCACTGCAGGCTGATGAAATTGTACTTGCAGACCAGGAGGGACCAGTCCGTGATGAGGACAAGGCGCTCCTTCTCGTTGTTCCAGTGGTCGATTCTGGGCAGAGAATACGACTGAGCTTTAAGTGGTTTCGACTCCTGGCTAGAAACACTCAAGAGCTTGGCAGACACGAGAGTTGCTGAGAACAAATCTGAAGTCTTGGTGATGCTGTATTTTTGCTTTGCATCAGCAGGGCCAGTGCAGGGCTGAGGGTCAGTTTGTTAAAGCTCTGCCCGCACTGTACTGCAGGAGTGGGTTCTTTGTAGGACTGGATTTCCTAAGGGGTTAACAGGGCAGCGTTGGTCTGGAGCTGGAGGGCTGGGTTATAAATAATGATAGCTGCAGCCAGCCTGGGCCATTCCTGGCCTTGTGCGCGCGTTAATATTCACCAGGTTTAAAGCGAAAAGCGCTGTGCGATGTGCGGCTCTGCACCAACCCCGCGGGGCCGAGGCTGCCCCGGCTCTCATCTCCCCCCCCCCGCAGCGCCCATCCCGCGGCGGAACTCACTCGGTGAGCAGCCACACGCTCTGCACCTCCCCGTCCTCGGCGGGCAGCACGACCACCCGGATCTCGCTCACCGCCTGCTCGATGGTGCCGGGCTGCGGGGGGACAAGGCAGAGGTCAGGGCGTGCGGGCCGGGCCCGCGGCCGCCCCCGCGCCCCTCCCGGCGCGCACCCGGAACACGAAGTACTGGCGGAGGCGGCCGGCGCGGCCCGCGGTGCGGACACTGAGCGGCCGCAGCGTCTGCCGGGCCGGCGGCACGGCCGGCTCGAAGGGCGGCCCGGCTGCCCCCGGTACCAGCGTGGCGGCCCCGGGGCTGCCGGGGCTACCGGGGCCGCCGGCCGGGCCGGACTCGTCCGCGTCCCGCAGCTGCAGCATCGCCGGGAGGGCGCTCGGAGCCTTCCGGGGCGGAGCGGGGCGGGCGGAGCGCCCGGGGCCGCCTCTCGCTCCTCGCCGGGCCGGGAGGCGGCACTGCAGCCCCGGCAGGGATGCTCGGCTGGTACCCGGGCAGAGCCGGGACACGGGGTGCGGGCTGCGGGGTATGGGATGCGGGATATAGGATACGGGGTATAGGATGCGGGGTATGGGATACAGGATATGGGATGCGGGATATGGGATACAGGGTATGGGATACAGGATATGGGATGCGGGATATGGGATACAGGGTATGGGATACAGGATATGGGATGCGGGATATGGGATACAGGATATAGGATGCGGGATATGGGATACGGGATATAGGATGCGGGATATGGGATACAGGATATGGGATGCGGGATATGGGATGCAGGGTATGGGATGCGGGATATGGGATACAGGATATGGGATACAGGGTATGGGAAGCGGGGTACGGCAGAGCTCCCCGCTCCGCTGGCCGTGTGTTGTCACCGAGTGTTGTATCGGGCGTTGTCATCGTCGCTCACCGGCGGCTGCTGGGGCCGTCACGATCGCGCACATGGAGCTGTACAAAGTGGCCGGTGCTGTCACTGTCGCTTGCTCAGAGCCGATTAGGTACCAGGTACCATCAGTGTCACACGCCCAGGGTTGTGTCAGGTGCTGTGACCATCGGACACCTAGGTTGTACAAGGTATCAGGTACTGTCACCATTACAAACCTGGGGCTGTACCAGGTGGTGGGTTCTGTCACTGTCCCCTGCCCGGAGCTTTATCAGGTACCAGGTGTCGTTGCTGTCACACACCTGGGGCTGTATGAGGTCCTGGGTGCCACCATGGTTGCACACCCAGAGGTGTATGAGGCCTGTCTCAGCTCTGCTGTGGATTTTCAGGGCTAAGACAAGGACCCACACACATCACACAGTGTACAGTGGGAGGCCCTGAGCTCAGCCAAAATGATGCTCTGCTCTGCCCAGGTGGTCTGGGCAAGACTCATATACCCACAAAAGAACAAGATTTGTGGGTCTACAGAAGCCAGACAGAGCTGCTGTGAAGCAGATCTGGGTCAGATGTGCAAGATCTCTAAATATCATCAGGACAGAGCTCAGGAAGGTACCAGAGCAGTGTGGGATAGGGACAGGATTGTGCATGGAGAGCCCTGGCGCCCATATCACATCCAGCTCGCTTGATAGCAAAGATTAAATAATGCTGGGGAATGAATGGCATGTTAATGTTTCAGTTTCTGTGGTCTCTGGCATGACTGCAGATATTATCATCACTATTTATGGAGCTGTATCATATCTTGGACCACTTTCAGGGCTGTTTTACTCGGAGCCAGAGGATGACATCCTCGGTGGGCGGCTGTGCTGGGAAATTATATAAAATTGAAAACATACTAAATTGACTTCACAGACAGGGTAGGGTTTCAGATATCTGTCTTTCACATGTGTCCCATGAATCCCCTGCTGTGCTTTCCACAGCCCTTGCTCACATGGCCCTCTTTAGGTGGGAACGTCACTGCTGGCTTTAAAGGGACTTTAAAAGGACTAGACTTCGTGCTGGGTCACTCCTCAAAGTGCAGCTTTTCCCATTGGACCTTCCCCTTCTCCCTGCAGGCAGCCTGGCCGAGGTGGCTGTATGGAGAGTGGCCCTGCCAGGCCAGCCAGGACCCTGCAGTGAGTTGTGTCCCGCCTGTGTGACAGCCAGCATTGTCACCTGAGGCAGGGTGGGAGCTGTGACTGGACTGATCAATCCCCATCCTTGGCCTCGGGCCGTGTCCTGGAGAGGGAGCCCGACTCCCAGCTCTGCCCAGTCCCTGACCATTGGGAGGAATTCCTGGAAGTCTAACTGGGAGCAGCCTGTTTCCTACTGTAAGAAAGTCCTAACTTTTTAATCCCGGATAGAAAAAAAGAGGCCTGGATTTATTGTATCCTGGAGCTCTCTCTGTTGTTATAAAACATCTTTATGTAGCTGCCTTTCTTCTCGAGGAAGAATGAAGGATGTTTTCTTCCCATCCGTTAGGCTTGGCTGATATTTTACTGCTAAGTGGAAGCATTAACCCCCCCTCACCTGCTCTTTTCTCTTACTTGAGGATTTATGGCACTGCTGTGACCTTGGGAGAGTTTTGGTGTAAGGAGCAGCTGCTTCAGTTTTTTTCAACAGCCAGCAGCTTTTGGGCATGGTCCTTGGGGACTTTAGTCTTGATTAATGATTGTCCTTCAGCCACAAAATATGTCCATGAAATGATCCCAGCCTTCCTCCAAGCCTTCTTGTCCTGCTTCTCTGATGGAAATCAGCACCTGCCCCAGGCCAAGTGAGCTCTGCAATGCCCTGGGGCAGATCAGAGGTGCCTGGATGCTGCTCTGGTTCCTCCTGGCCCCTGGGGAGTGTTTGCTGGCAGGTGCTTGAGATGTTTAGTGCAGCATCCCTGCTCTGCTCTGCTCTCTTCCTCCCCATCCCACTGTGCCAGCTGCTGTGTGCAGTTGGAGGTGTCCCTGCCAGCAGAATTTCCTTGGGAAGTGATCAATTTTGTTATCTGTTGGGTAGTGCAGAAGAGCTGAAAACAGCCCCGAAGCACCGCTGCTCCATCCCTGCGAGCAGGGCCTCCCCCTCCTCTGCTCGGGGCTGGGCACAGCTCGTGGGAGGGATTTCTGACTGACAGCGAGCAAAGAGGCAAGAGAGCATGTGAGGGAAAGGAGCTGGACCTGGGAAAGGCAGGGGGAAGTTTTGTTACTGCCCTGAACCGCAGGGAAGCTGCTGTGGTGCGTGTGTGTGAGGGAGCTCCTCAGGAGCTGCCTGCTCATCTGGAGGATGCCTGCACCTCTGGGGATGGAGTGAGGAACAGCCCTGCCTGCCTCGGGAAAAGCCCCTGGGGGGTGAGAGTCTCCTGCCAGAAGAGCACCCCTCCTTTTTCCTTCTCCTTGCCAAGGGCTGGATTTCAAAGTGCCTTGGGAAGGGGATCGCAGCTCCGGAGCAGCTCAGCCCACATGGGGCTGCCCTGCTGGGCACAACCCCGGTCCTGTGAGCCCCCAGGTCCTCGAGCTTTGTCAGGAAGCAAATCCCAGAAGGAAAAGTCACTTCAGTACATTTCACTGCGAGCAAACGAGTATGAAAAGCCAGGTTTGGTTTGGGGAAAAACCCAGCTGCAACCTGCACTGTGATTTCCAATGGAGTGAAGAAAGTCGCTGAGCGGAACCCGAGAGGGAGGAAGCATCCAGGAATGGTAAATCCGCTCTCCCCCTGCGAGGACTCCCCTGTGCTCCGATAGCTTTGTCCTTTGCAAGGAGAGACACCGGCAAGCTGGGAGCAGCAGGAGCCTGTGGGGAGGAGGAACCGGGGAGCTGAGCTAGAGGAGGCTCTGGGATTCCCGGGATAACCGCTGGAAACACCTGGAGGGAGAGGAGCGGCTGCGATGGAGTTTCCTGCCGTGGCACTGTCACTTATCGTGGCGCTGCGAATGTCTCCACTGGCGGCTGGGAGCAAACTGCAGCCCCACATGTGAGTAGGAGGAAAAAGTTCCGGAGAGGTTTTGTCGGGCAGAGAATGGAAAAGCAGGAGCCTAATGCTGTGTTTTCAAATCAAGGGTGAAGCCAGGAGCAGAGAGGGAAGGGGTAGTGGGGAGGAAGCTGTTGTGGGTTTCTTTATTTGTTACTGAATGTGCAAAAAGGAGAATAGAAAATTGAAAACCTAGATAATCTTTTCTTGTAGGAGTGAGCTCCTTGGTTTAGCTGAAACTGTTGTCTGAGTGCAAGAGATGTTTCCTGTGTGAATACTTTGCCCTTTCTTCCAAGACCTGCTGCTTTTATTTCACTTCACGAATCTTATTCCACGTTCCTCCCTGCCTGCTGCTGTTACTCCAGCAGCACGTAGGCTGCTCTTTTTAATTACATTTTACAGTTACAGTTTGGTGTTAATCATTTGGCTGCTCTGGAAAACTTCCTTACAAATTTGGCCTCTTGCCAGAAGATGGTCTCTCAGAGCCAGGGGATCACTGTAATTCCCTTTGTCCATGGAGCTGGTGTGGTGTGGGGTGCAGACTCCAAGCCGCCCTCCCCAAGGCGTTTAATTCTTCAAAAAAAAGGCCTTTATCTTTAGAAGATAAAGGTTTTGGAAGAGGCAGCTTTTTCTCCCCACGTCAGGGCTTTGTGCTCCTGCCCTGACAGTTACTTTCAGGACTTCTTGGACGAGGCACTGGAGCAGAGCCCTGTGCCAACATGTCAGGGTTGGAATTGAGTGGCCTGGAGCAGTTGGGTGCCAGCTGTGACCTCTAAGCTTCACCACGTCCAAATTAGTTGTTTTCACTTCTTTTATAGAAAGTATCTCTGTGAAAACTCTGGGTCCTGTTGGAAGCAGCAGAAGCAGCCTCAAATGCCAAGTGGCTCAGGGAGTCAGGGACCAATGTCTCCCTCTTCATCCTTAATTAAGCCCACTGACTTGTGCTTGGAGAAAGAGTTAGGATTAGAGAAGAAACAAAGTACATTTCTTTGATTTATTGGACTTAGCCTCACAGCCCTTAGCTCTGAATGAACAAGAAACCAGCCCTGTGGCTGGTGGGCCTGGCACCGTTCCTTTTCCCTGCAGTGATTAACTCATTGAGGGGGTGGACGCAGGGGGTTGCCCAAACCCTTCCTGCCCTGTCAGCGGGAAATTCAGGCAGTGGGAGCGCTGCACCCCTGGCAGCTGTGACCCCCTGCATCCCTCTGGATGCGCTGCATCCCTGACATGCCTGCATTTCTGTGTCCCAGGCCGAATGTGTGTGCAGAGCAGGAGCTGGGGGTCGTGGGGCTGCGGCAGCCGTGCGTGCAGGCGCTGACCCGCGCTGTCAAGGTGTGGAAGCAGGACTGCGGGGGCCACCGCTGGTGCACGGGCTACGAGCGCAGGTAGGTGCTCTCCCCTCCACCTTGGGCTGCTCCTTCTAGGAGGAAAAGGGGTTCCCACTCCTCAGCAGCGGCGGGAAAGTGAGTTCACAGAATTCACAGAATGACCAGGTTGGAAGAGACCTTCAAGATCATCGAGTCCAACCCATGCCCTAATGCCTCAACTAACCCATGGCCCACATCCAATCCTTTTTAAACACATCCAGGGATGGTGACTCCACCACCTCCCCGGGCAGACCATTCCAGTACTTTATCACTCTTTCAGTGAAAAACTTTTTCCTAATATCCAACCTAAATTTCCCTTGATGCAGCTTGAGACTGTCTCCTCCCATTCTGTTAGTTGCTGCCTGGTGAAAGTTTGGTGCTCACTGGCAGTGGCTGCATGGCTGTTGAGGGATGGGGACAGCTACCTGTGCACCCATCCTGACCCCCTGGCTGTGTTCTGGACTCCAAGGAGTCTCAGTGATGAGACAGTGTGGCTGGGGCTCACCTGGATGTCCCACAGCTCTCAAGGGAAAGAGGAGGAAACACCTCAGAGGAAACCCTTGGTGCCTGGCATTTATCTGGCTACCCTGCCTGTGGCAAGGGGTTGAAACTAGAAGCTTTAAGGTCCCTTCCAACACAAATTGTTCAGTGATTCTGTAACTCCATGATTCCATGATTTTGTGATCAGGGGACAGAGCGGTTCTTTTACAGGTTGATACGAACAGTCCCATGAGCAGAGATGTGGCCTTGACCCCACAAACTGTCACTAAGGAGTAGAGCTACTTCACAGGGTATTTGTCTTGGCTAAAAGCAGGAGACCACAAGAGCTTAGCAAACCCTTTGGGCATTTTGCTGGAGGGGCTTCTGGTTTAACCTGGCATTTCTGTGACTCTCAGAGTTCTTAAGCTGGGAAGGAATTCCCAAAGAGAAGGTCTATCCATTGTTCTCATTGTGCAGAAGCTTTGTCCTCGTGGTGGGCTGTTTCCCATCTTCAGACAATGTATGACATCTGTTTCCTATGATCCAGCCACGTTAATGGAATGACTTATTCTCATCACGTGCACTATTCCTGTATCTTTAGATGTCTTCTCCTCGAAGCCCCTTGGTGCCTCTTGTCTGACAGAGCTGATGGCAGGAGCTGGGGTCAAGTGAGAGTTATTGCTAAAATAACAGTGAATGTGGCATGGTGCAGGGGATGGGGGGTGCAGGACCACCTGTGAGGGTCAGCAGCTTTTGCTGCAGGATTTGCTGCAGGGTCACCACCTTCCTTTCACTCCATGAGCTGGACCATGCTCAGGCCCACGTCAGAAGAGCTTGGGCTGGGCTTGCACAGGTGAGCACAGAGTTGGAACATACCCTGAGTGCTTGTCCAGCTGATCACAGCATCCTGTGAGTTCCCAGCTGACCAGAGATGGGAGCCTGGGAAGGAGGCCCTGTGGAAAGAGAGCTCTGAAAACGTGTTACAGCACAAAAAAAGAACTTTTTTTACCTACTCAGCAGCCCAACTTCAACGTGTCCAAGTTGCTTCCACCCTCCACCTGCTTTTCCGGCCTCATTAGGGAGTTACAAGCCTTTACAGAATAAAAATGATAGCTGTTGTTTCAAAGAAACATCTTGGACTCAAACAGCTTTTAAGTCCTGACTTTAGGAATTCCCCCTAACCTGTAATTGCTGGTAATTACCCTGGTGATGAGATCTGTGTCCTGGTAACAAAGGAGCAAACAGAGTCTGACTCTTGGCTGTGTTTTCAGGGAAGGCTTTGAAAGGATGGGTGTCCTGTCTGCTTCCACTTCAAAGGCTGGGAGCTCTTCAGCCCAGCGGTCCCTCCAGCTCCTTAAAGGATGGGTTTGACATCACAAATCAAGGAAATAAAATGAAATAACTTTCTGTTCTGCTTCATTACAAATATCAGAACAACCCAGTGCTAAAACTGTTCCTGATGGAAGCACAGAGGGGAAACCACTGAGCAATTTCACTGCAGGAGCTGTGAAATCCAGACAGGAGAAGGACTATCAGCAGAGCATTCATTAGGCAAGGTTTTGTCCCACATCCCCTCTCTCTAAACTTCTGGGAGTTCCCATTGCAGCAAGCTTTTCCAGGAGCTGGGAATTGTCCTGTCAAGCTCCCCAGGCAGCCGAGGCAGGGGAGTGCCCGGTGTCAGCACTCACAGGGTCTGGAGCTGCTCCAGTTGGACCCAGCTCTGGCAGCGTGGGGCTCAGGAAGTCTATTCACAGCTCAAGGATCTGGCCTGAGATTGGCCTCGGTGCCTTTGTGTTCCTGGAGGTGACTGGGAAAAGCAGCATCTGCTCAGCTGGAGCATCCTCGGGCTGTGCTGCTCAGTGCTCCTGGTGAAGGGATGGGTTTGTGCAGCTTCCCAGTGAGTGATGACAGCAGGTAGCTTTGCTCAGCCCTCCATAACCAAGCTTGAAGGAATCACAGCGCTATCCCAGAGGGGCTGGAAGGGGATTTTCCAGCAGCAGGACACAGCAGGATTCCCTGGGTTCCATTAGTTCTGGCTCATTCCCCATTTTCTGTGCCAGGGACTCCTTAAAACACAAAAGAAAAGAGAAACACTGAAGATAAAGTATTTCCTGTGTGGCTCTTTCCCATCTGCAGCACCCAGATACCCAGGCTGTCACAATATTTGCCTGTCCTTGAGAGCTGCCTGGAGCAGCTGAAGGGTCTGGAGTGTCTGACAGAGCCACCCAGGAGGGTGGGACTGCTCTGGGCACTGCTGGGCCACAAGGAGCCCTGAGCTGGCCTACATCCCTGTTTGAGTTTTCCTCCCCATCCCTGAGCCTCCTCATCATGTCCACACCACCCTGCATCCACCATCTCCCTTTCTCCTTCCTGCTGGGCTGGGCTGGAGAGAACTCCTGGTACCCAGAGGATCCTGGTGGGCTGGAGCCTGGTGCCTGTGAATTGCTTTCTCAGCTGCTTCTGGAACACAACAATTTCCTTCATAATTTGTTAACAGCTCATACAAAACAAAACAAAAAAATTGGTATCTGCTTTTATTTTTCTCAGCTGTGCTTCCATGTGCTGGTTGGCACGCAGGAGTTGCTGAAGGTTTCCTTCCCAGGGATTAACAGTTCACTGTTATTTGGGGTTTTTTTTTTAGGAGCATTCAGACAAAATCAAACAAGTCGACTGAGTTAGGATAAATATTTTCAGTGGACATGCACAACACATCTGCTGTGCCAAATATTTGTTGTTGTTTGCCTGATTTGCTTTGGTGGAGCAGTTTCATGTTCTGCCAACGGAGCTTTTTAAAAATCAGCTTCAGAAGTATTATCTGTGTTTCAATTCTCACAAACACACAACACCAAATTTCCGGGGAAAAAATGTGTCGCTTTTATTTATTTACGCTTCAGATCAATCCCTGCTTTACTGCCCCAGCTCCCACCCTGCAGGGAACTACTGGGAGTCGTCAAAGGGACCCTCAGTGTTCCCTGCCAGGCTGTGTCCAACACAACTCTTGGAGCAGTTTGGTGTTGCCATCAGGGTTATGTTGATTTTTTAGCTCATCAGCCCCTTAGAGACACCTGCTTCTAAAGCAGAAATACCTGTTCTTAGAATTTCCATTTCCTTTGTGAGCAAGTAGTGTAAGAGAGGAACTCAGAGCTGTAAAAGCCTAGAAAAGGAGAAAAAAGATAATCTTGGGTGTTATGAAGATTTGGGTGTTGTCCCTTGTGTTCCTAATTAGAGTAAATTAGGAGTATTTTCTTAGCATCAGTGATCACTGCCAGGCTGTGTGGAAAACCATGGCAGCACGTTTGCAAACCCAATTCTTCATTTTATTTCCATCCATGGCTACAGATTCTGTTCTTCCTGGTTTCCCTGTCCTGCAGGAGCTGACTTTGCCTGGGGTTTTGTATTTCAGGGTTGTGTATTACACGGGCTACAGGCAGGTGTACCAGGTGAGGTCCCAGACCACGTACAGGTGCTGCCCAGGATGGTCCCAGCTCGCAGGGGATGCTGGCTGCCTGCACAGTAAGTGTCACTCTACTCAGCTCAACTTCCTTGTTTTGGCTCATTTCAAGTCCTGTGCCTGCAGAAAATGCTCTAAAAATGTCTTTAAATGCCTTTTAAAATGTCCTCAAAAATAGCTGTCATGGGGTTTTTTTAGTTTTTTTTTTCTGATGTTGGTATTATTATTATTATTATTATTATTATTATTATTATTATTATTATTATTATTAATATTCTTGTATCAGAAGGATGCTGCTCTGACTTTCTGGGAAGCACTGTGAGGTGCTTTCCATTTCTGGAGAATTTCTACATTCAGGGTCCTGGCCATTCATCCACTTGTCAAATCCTACTAAATGTTTAAAATCAAGGCCAAATTGATGTTTCCAATGGTGCCACTGGCAGAAACTCTGGAAGTTCCTTTGAGACGGTTTGTCAGGGTTTGTTATTTTAAGACTGGCTGAGTTTGAGCTGCCCCTGTGAGAGATTTGGGATCTCTGCATCCAGCCTTCGCCTGGATCTGTATCCAGAGGGTGAGCTGGGCTCAGGGTGGTGATTCTGCAGTGTCAGCCTGGAGGAGGGGACACAGGGCTCAGGTCTGGAGTGGACACCCAGATCTGGAGGGATTCTGTGGCTGGATTCCTGCTCTCTTCCAGTGCAATTCCCTGCCAGACAGGCACAGGAGCGTGTCCTCCCCGGCTGTGGGGGGAGCTGTGAGGTGTATTCAGGTTTGCACATGATGGGGATGTGCAAATATCAGCCTATAAGATGATTTTTTGCTGTTGTTGCAGACGACAGAGGCAGCTTTATCCCTGTGGGCCCCACATTCCCCATTTCCCTCCAGGATTCTCTGCCTGACACAGGAGGCAGCTGCTGTGTCTGTCCTTCCCCTAAACCCTGCAGCCACGTCCAGCTGGGGAAACATTTAACTGGAAACTGCTTCTGAGGTGTTGAGAGCAAGGAAAAACCTCTTGAACTGAACCAGACTTATGTGCAGAACCAAATGTCACCTGGTGCAGAGCCCTGCACACTCCTGCTGCTGTGGGATCAATTCCCTGCCTCGGTGCCTGATTCTTCTCTGATTTAGACCTTGGAGGTGCTCTCCACCTTCCCCACAGAAAAGCAGCTTTGGATTTAAGGGCTAGGCAGGAGAACCAGCAGAGCCTTTTGGGATCTGCCCTGCCATCAGGGGAATCAGAGCCAGCTCTGTTCTGGAGGCACTCACGACTGGGATTGACCTCCAAGACAGGAGGATGTCTCCTACAGCTGCCTTTTGTTCTGTGAAGAGGCTCTCTGTGCCTTCCCCGGGCTTTGATGCTTGTAGAAAAGCTTTATTAAAAAAAAAAAAACCAACAAAAACAAAACCAAAAAAACAAGTTAAAAAGGTGTGTCAAACACCCAGTCCTTATTCTTCCTATTCCAAGCTGTGGCACAGCAGAACAACCCACAGGGAAGAGGAAGCTCCACGGGTGCCTCATAACCCCTGTCAGTGAGCAGATAATAACCTCAGCTGAACTCAGAAAAGCACCTTCTGTAATGATTTTTCCTGCCAAGGAAATGAGTAATTCCATGCAGGAAGGAAGCAGAGAAAAAGGAAATAAAGCTGCTCAGGGCATTCTCTGAACTCATCCTTCTCATCACCGTGGCTGGGAATGGTCCTCAGGGATGGCTCACTGCAGGGTTGGGCTGGAGTGAAGAAGAGAGGGACAGCCAGTGCCAAAAGCAGAGTGACAGCAGCCCAAAAGCTCCTGCAGGAATTGCTGCTGAGCTGCTGGGGAGGTTGAGGTGGATCATGACCTGGAGATGGTGAGCTCTGTCCCCATTCAGCCCTTCAAACCCAAGTGGATACCCCTGGGCTCACACCCAGGCCACGCTGTAACCTTGTTTCTGGCACAGAAAAATAGGTATTTATGTACCTCAAGGGCAACAGGCACAACAGGGAGCAGATCTCTGCTGGCCCTCAGCACAGGCAGGGGCACTTCCAGGGGCAGAAAATAAAATTTCATTGCTCTGTGAATCATCTTCTGAGCCCCTGAGAGCAGCAGCCACCAGCTTGGGGCTGAGGTGGGCAGTGGGAATTGTGCTCCCTTTTCCCACACCCCACAGGCAGCAGCTGGAGGAGCATCCCATGGGCAAATGGGACAGCTCTGCCTGGCCCTGCAGGTGCCCCAAGCCAGGGTGTCTGTCCTGGTCTCTGCCCTGTCCTGGGGAACGTGTCTGGGCTCTGTGTAACTAAACCCCCATCCCAAGGAGCTCCCAGGTGTTGCTTTGCAGGGGTGTGATGGTTTTTCCTGCTGGTGGCTTTGGCCTCAGCACTGGTGTGTCCTTCTGGAGGTGTGGGAAGGTCTGGGAGGGAATTGCCAGTGACCCTCAGTGAGGTGCTGGCAGGGGCACACAGCCAGGCTGTTATTTATGGGTGCTGGAGGTTCCTCTGGTTGCTGTGGAGCAGTCTGGGGTCAGCCTGTGCTTGCTGCTGGGGCTCTGCTGAATGCCACAGAGCTGTGCCAGAACATGTCAGCAAGATTTGTGGCCCTTCCTATCTGCCTCCAGAGATCATTGATCGTGTTCCAGGAGTACTGAGCAGGGAAAGGGCATCTCTGCTGACAGTTTAATTAGGGCTGCTGTGCAGTGCAATCTCTCCAGTGAGGATGTCTTGCTCTCCCTTGGGGACTGGCATCTCCTCACTGCAGGGTTTTGTTTGCTCTTTGTTTGCTCACCATTTCTCCTTAAAAATAAAAATAAACCCAGCCCATTTGAGGGGGGATTTTCAGCACTGCAGGCTCGTGTGTAACCAGCCAAGGCTCACTGCCACCTTGTTTGAACATGCTGATGCTGTCTGACATGGATGGTGATCTTAAACACCATTATTAGATGGGAGGTCCCAGCACCCTCTCCCTGGTCAGGGGAGTTATTTGGGCTCTCAGAGCTGTCCTAGTGCCTAGAAGAGGAACTTGCCTTGTTGCAGCCACTGCACTGGGGATACTCACTGCTAGCACAGGTTGGAGGCTGGCTGTAGCAAAACTGGGGTGTCCTCCCCTTCCTCACCTGCAGATTTGTGTCTCTGAGCTCTTACAGGTGGAGAAATCTCCCCACTACAGAGCTGTGGGGACAGTACAGGGAGCGTGTGGGCTCTGCTAGGAACAAATAGCTCAGAAAGAGATGGAAAATGTCATAGAAACAGAGATCTCACTGGTGTCACAGAATATTTGGATTTGTTCCTCTCTTCGTGTGCCCTCTGAAATGGTGACAGCTGGCCTTGCTCCTGCCACCCCCAGGGCTGTCAGAGGTGAAGGCAGGGAGCCCTGACCCTGGCAGGGTTCTGTCTTTTGTCCCTTCTCTTCTGGTGGTAGCAGAGGATGAGGATATGTTTCCATTTCTTCCATTGCCCTCTGCCCTGGACCATTCATCCCTTTGGGAAGGAGAAGGGTCAGAGATCAAGGCACCCTTTGCATTTTTAGGATGGCATCAGGTTCTTTCCTTGCCTGATCACTGATACTTTAACTCTCAGACTGAGCTGCCCGGTTTCAAGTGGCCTCTGAGATGCTCCTTAAATTCCAGCTGGGTTCAATAACACAGGTAAAGCCCTTGGTGATTAGGTGAGGAGCCTGCATGTCTGGTAATCTCTGTGATCTCCACTTTCTGCTGGAGATGTTGAAAAGCTGAGTCCCTCTGTAACTCTTGATGTGCGTGGAGCAGCTGAAGCTCGGCCACCCACAGCCTGTCTGTGCTCTGGGGCCAGCCCCTGCCACCTTCAGAAAGGACATGGTGAGGCAGAAAGGCACCAAGGAGAGCTGTAAAGAGGCTAAAGAGGAGACCATGGCTAGATTTAGTGTGGGTGACGCTGTCACTGCTGTGATGTGTTCTGGAGAAACTCAGCCTGAGCTGCTGGTCCAAAGCTGGTCAAAGTTGTCCTGAACTCAAATTTTTATCCAGGTCCTGCTGATTTTCAGCTCAGCTGGAGGTAAGGCCTGGCCCTAGGTAGGAAGGAGAATTTATGCTCGTTTGAGGAAGCATCAGAGTCTGAGACACGATGAAAGCCATGGGATCATCCCTAGTGCTGAGCAGAAAGCAGCTGAATTTTAATCGCCCCATTAAAAGAAAAAACTTCTGTTGGTCACGACTGGCCTGTTAAAAGGCTCCAGAGTGAGCTTCCCCACACTGAACTGGGTTTCTTTCTGCCAACTCCACTGAGTTCTCACCCATCACCTGGTGAGCAGGGGAGGAGTGCTCATGGGGACCAGCTGTCCTTGCTTCATTGGCACAACCCTGGAGGCTGGCACAGCCCTGGAACCTGACACGGTCCTCAAAGCTGGCACAACCCATGGAGATTGACATGGCTCTGGAGCACAACACAATCCTAGAGTTTGGCAGAGCCCTGGAGCCTGGCATGGCCATGGAGCCTGACACAGCCCTGGAACCTGGCATGGCCATGGAGCCTGGCACAACTCTAGAGCCTGGCACAGCTCTGGAGCCTGGCATGGCCATGGATCCTGACATAGCTATGGAGCTTGGCACAGCTCTGGAGCCTGGCATGGCCATGGAGCCCAACACAATCCTAGAGTTTGGCATAGCCCTGGAGCCTGGCATGGCCATAGAGCCTAGCACAGTCCTGATGACTGGCACAATCCTGCAGCCTGGCATAACCCCAGAGCCTGGCACAATCCAGGAGCCTGGCACAGCCCAGAAGCCCAGCTCTGTCCTGGAGCATGCTACAACCCTTGAGCCTGGCACAGCCCTGGAGCCCAGCACAGCCCCAGAGCCCGACCATGTGCACCACCACAGAGCAGGCAGCTCAGGTTTGTGCTCCAGGTTGGAAGCTGGGCAGGAAATGCATCTGGCTGACAGTTTGATTTCCCTGAGAGGCAGCTTTGCTTTGTCCATCACCTCCTGGCTGCTGCAGGCTCATTGTTTAGTCAGCTGAAAGGCTGGGACTGAACTCCTGAACCTGCCATGGAGCTCAGTGCTGGTTCAAGGTCCATCGTGGGCTCCCCTGGGAGCACATCTCTGCCCAGGCTGGGCTGTAC